AACAGCCCACTTGCGCCCACCTCAATCGACCTCAATCGACCTTGTCGGCCCACAGATAGAGGAGAGGGAGCCACTATTTCCATTCGTTTCTTTCTCCGACAGAAAAAAAAAAGGTGATATCAGAAGCTCAGAACGAGGCTTAAGAAGACTGAAAATATTAACCTGCATCGGTTACCTCGGTCGCTTTATTCTCGGCCTTCACCTTTCACCCTTGATTTTTACCATCATCAATTATCGATACCATTCCCTTCATATCTCTTCTCCTTGACATATTCACACGTGTATTGGTACGACCTCCAGTCCTCTATCGGACCTGTTTGGGGGATGACGTGAGGTAACTGATACGAATATTCTACACGTACCTATAAAATTTTATCTTTTTACAATACCGAAAATCATTAAGCGACCTGTTAGTGCAGTGCCAGAAAACCGACAATACGGATAGGACGGTCAGAAGCTTCTGTCAATTAACAAGCCCAGCGTCCTTTTCAGGGTATTTTAGGGCATTTGGGGGGGGTGTGCAGCAATCTACTGCATCATTACACTCTCTTCCAGCACTATCTTACTCTCTAAACTCATCCGATTCGCCGATCTCGCAGCCTCCCACCCTCCTTTCCCCTATATTGGACGGTACTGTATCTCTTGGTACTGTACTGTTCTGCGCTAGCAATCTACGCTAAAAAACCTTAAACCAGCCAAGGTTAAGACCCTGAAAGGTCCGGAAACAAAACACCTGGGCACCTGGGCACCTGGACACCTGGAAGATTGGAAACTATGACACCCCGTCTTCACGTAAAGGGAACTGGCCCTCTGGAAGTTGTTGTGCCGTTTGACTGCAGCAATTCTACGGCGCACCAATATTCTCTTGGCTCACAAGGTACGTCTTCAATACTTTTGAAAAAGCACATATGCTTTCTTCTTCTTTGCATCCAATATTTCCCTACCTTGATGCAAGTACCCAATTCTTTTCTTATTTTTTCTTCTTCTTCTTTCTTCTTCCTGGTCATCACCAGTCCTAAACAACACACGTAAAGCACCTGTTACATCATCCCACTTCAGATTTCTTTTTAATCCCTGCTACTGCAAGATTGCATAAATAGCACCGCTGCTGCGTTTTCATTACTTAGACTTGGCGTTCCAAACTCGGCGCCCCGATAATCGGTTGCATTTGTTGCAATTACTCAATTACTAAATTAACCATCTTTTTTTCTCCTTTAGATCGCAAACCCACACGCAGACCATCACAATCACAACAATCATCGCTTGCTCGAGCGGCGATGAACAATCAATACCAGCGTCAAGTTTCTAATCCTACGATCCCTCGCTCTATACCTACACCACCGGAGCAAATCATTGCGACCGAGTCCAATCGTCCCACCACAAGCTTCGACGCCGCCCTGGCTACTGTCGCAAAAGATGGCGCGTCTGCATCACCACCAACTCCCACTTCCTTGAATGGGGACGATGCTGTACCATCCCACAAGTGCAAGCCTTTCCAAAATGGACTCGCGCCACCTACGCTCAACAACCTTCCTCATGTTAGTCTCGGCCCAGTTGCGCATCCGTCTGCGCATCCCTCGTCCCTGGCGAGCGCGCTCAGAGCCTTGAATGAGGGGCCTTGCGGAGTCGCCTTTCGCGATTTCCCTGCGCCTTCGTCTAACGATTCTCCCTACACAAAGAGTATCTCGTCTACCGCTCCCGCATCGCCTCGAATGTAAGTTTCATGCTGTTATATTTCGAATGCTCTAATACTGACTACTTGGGATAGTCCACCCCTGCGACAGAACTCGGGTTCCCAAACACCTCGCGTACGACCCCATGCGACAACCCTCAGTATTCCTGGTATGACTCGATCGCTTGTATCTCCTGATGGGAAAATTGCCGATCGAGATGTCGCTGCGAAACTTGTCATCATTATGGTTGGCCTCCCAGCCAGGGGCAAATCGTACATCACAAAGAAACTTCGGAGATATCTCTCTTGGCAACAACACAACACTCGAATCTTCAATGTCGGAAACCGAAGACGTGTCGCCGCTGTAAGTTCGCCGACCATGCATCGTAAAGATAGTTCCATGGATCTGCCAACTCCTGCAACGACGATTTTGGTTAACGGTGCTCAGCCACCAACTGATTCCCCGGCTCGGAAAAGGTCGTCGCCTCAGGATCGGGATCAGGATGACCCCGCCCCAACGCCTATGGACCAATCCGCTAAATTCTTCGACCCCAACAACGAGCAAGCCTCGAAATTGAGGGAGGAAATCGCCATTGACACGTTAAATGAGCTACTAGATTACTTGATCAGTGGCGGAGGCTCGGTTGGAATTCTCGATGCTACAAACAGCACGATCCACCGGAGACAGACACTTTTCGACCATGTCAAAGCTAGAGAACCTCAACTAGGCATTCTATTTATTGAGAGTGTTTGCAAGAATCCTCAACTTCTGGAGGCCAACATGCGCCTGAAGCTTTCCGGCCCTGATTATAAGGACAAAGATCCTGTCAAGTCATTGGCAGATTTCAAGGAGCGCGTGAAGGCATACGAAAAAGCATATGTGCCCCTAGGAGATTATGAAGAAGAGCATGAGATGCAATATATCAAGGTGAGTAGAAAAAAGCATATCATATCCTATCCAACGTATACTAATTCTAGGTACAGATGACAGACGTTGGCAAGAAACTTACCCACTTCGGATTGGGCGGTTTCCTCAGCAGTGGCATCGCCAATTATCTATCTTCCTTTAATTTGTCCCCGAGACAAATATGGATCACTCGCCATGGCCAATCTGCGGATAACAAACTTGGCAAGATTGGTGGCAATTCCGAACTGACTGACCGCGGACACTATTACAGCGAATGTCTGTACAGATTCGTCACAAAGAAGCGCAGCGAATGGCTGGTAGAGCAGAAGGACAAGGTTGCACAAGCATCATTCCCTCCTCTACCTGGAGACCAGTCGCCGCCTTACCCTGATCTGAACCGCGAGCTCGAGGAGAAGAATTTCTGTGTGTGGACATCCATGTTGACACGCAGTATACAGACGGCTGAGTACTTCGAGGCAGACGAAGATTATGATGTCAAGAACTGGGAAATGCTCAACGAGCTAAACGCCGGAAAGTTTGAGGGCTTGACATACGAGGAAATTGCCCGCACTCATACGGATGAGTATAAGAAGCGTAAAATGGACAAACTTCAATACGTCTACCCCGGTGTTGGCGGTGAAGGCTATCTCCAGGTTATCAGTCGTCTTCGGGATATGGTGCGAGAGATCGAGAGAATCAAGGACCATATCATGATCATCGGGCACCGTTCCGTCTGTCGTGTTCTGATGGCGTACTTCATGGATCTCACCAGGGACGACATCGCAGATCTGGATATGCCCCTCGGCATGCTCTACGCTATCGAGCCCAAGCCATACGGCATCGAGTTCCACGCGTACAAGTACAACGAGGAACAGGGATGGTTCGACGAAGTCCCTAACTACAGACCCTCGAGAACGGTCGACCGCAGCGCCTAAGGGGACTGCGAGGTTTTCTTTTTTCGTACCTTTTCCCGCTCATCATCATCATCATCACCATCATTGTAACACTATTTTTATTACTACATCATTCAGGCAAAGACGGCAATGATACCAAGAGAACCGGCGGGGCATATTCTCAGAGCGCGCCCGCTTTTCGAAATTTTTGACATTTTTCCCCCTTGTTATTTCCGAGGAGAGTTTCCATACGAAACGGAATCCGGGTTGCGCATGCTTTAGGAGTTCGGACGGGAGTTGCGGCAAAGCAAAGGAAAGGGGGGGTGTATAACGGTCACGGACGGACAGGATTCCTCGGCCGCGACAAGAGGGCGGCGGGCTCGACGGCTTTTGTTTTAAAATACTCCCCCCATCATTTCCCCGTCACCGTGCCGAGTCTATGGATGTATGCTCACGGCATAGCATAGCACGCACCTTCGTAATTTAGTTGGCGAGCATTACCCCCGGATAGACCTGCTATATACCTAGGTAGTTAGGTCGGGTACCTCGTTGTTATCCGTAGATTTTCGCTCGGAATAGAGCTTATTAACTACATGTTTGGCCATGTCTCTTGGTGACTTATGTACATTTATAGAATCAGTCATGTGAGAGAATGTATGTATTATTACAAATTACGAAGCTATCATCTGACGTCTAAGATAAGACAAGACAGACCTCGACAATACCAATGTCAATACAATATCAATTACACAAACCACGATCGATACAAGCACTAGTATACAAATCCACACAGCATTACTACCAACTATAGACACAATTCTTTATTCAAGTGGTCTCTTGCAATACAAGCAAGTAAGTAGGCACACAAGGTATGCTAAACTAAAGTTTATCAACAACTCGACTCAGTTCAACTCTCTCATCCGTCCCCAACACTGAAGAGTAGTTTATTTCATTCCGTAATCGTCATCACAGCCATAACAGCTGGGTCCATTCAAACAAGTGTAGAAAACCCGCCCTAATATTATTACAAGTTCTTTTTTTTTTCTTCTTCTGCAACCCGTTCCGTTGGTTGCATGCTACTAAAAGCCAAAATAGGTCGAGAGTCGGGTAGAGCGCTAAACAAGGTAATTTGTTGGTTAGATGCTCGTCTCCTAACGTCTTTACGCTTGGGGCCTGAAGTGAAGTTTTTTTCTTTTTCGTTCTTTTCTGTTCTGTTCACACGAATGCCGGGTTAATGCAATGCAATGCCATGCAAAATAATAGCAAGAGCAAGCCGATCTCGTTCGCAAAGTGGTATATCCATCGCCATTTTTTCCATTCGAGTCCCGGTACGTTGGGGGTATGTTGGAAGAAGCAGGAGGGAAATCAGGAAGGGAAAAGTCGTAAATCTTCGTAACCAGGAGTATTTTTTTCGTCATCATGAGCAAGGAAAAACACAAGGAAAAGAGAATCAAATATAATCCGCCCGGAATAGGAATTAAACGCCGCGATTTCCCAATGATGGTTCTGTGATCGCTTTTTTTGCTCTTTCGTATCAGTCATAATCATCGTACAACGGATCCAGAAAAGTCGTCAAATCGTCGTGTTGTCCGTTTCACTTCTGCCGCTTGGTCAGTTGTCGTGGGAACGAAACCCTTATAGCGCCTCTCCATAAAAGCAATTTGCCCCCATATTCTCGTCTTGGTGGTAGTAGATACGGGGCTTGTGGTAGCTGTACTGGTCTGGGATACGCGGGACCATAGGAATGCCACGGTTTGCATCGGGCACGACGCTTAGACCTGGGAGCTCTCGTGATCGTGGGGGGAATACATCCATCTCGTCTTGTCGGACGTCCTCCATAGACGAGCGGTCCCCGAGAACTTCCCAATTTTCGGATTCTGTCGATGAGGCCCGCGATCGCAGAGATGACGACTTGCCGCGCTTTCGCAGTCTATTGCCGTCTCGGCTGCTATTAGAGGGAGATCTATGCGGGTGTTGTTTCTCAATCCGCTCAACCCGCCTGCCAACCATCTCTCGAGATACTGGTACTAGTATCGGTACCGGTGCCGGTGCTGGAGACGACGATCGCATGCGGCCAGCTATCTCCTTCAAGTACGAGGTACTACGGGTGGAAATTGTGGGCGACGGCGGGAATTGGAGGAAACTATCAGACATCTGCAAATCCTTAATGGGAGACGGCATCTTGCGTAGTTTCTTTGCTACCCTCTTAAGCGGTTCGACAAAAGATGACGACGTAGACATTCCTGGTGCCTCGACGCTTGCTGGGTCTTCCGTATCTAATCTGCTGCGTTTGCGGCTACGGAGAGTAGGACGACGAGTATCATAGGCGTCTGGCATATGCATCGGCTCGTCCTCTGGCTCCGGTGTTTCGATTCTGCGTCCTTGAAAGCTTGCCCTTAATGGCGAGCCAGGAAACCTAGGCGCCCTGAAAAAATTGGTGGCGTCTATGGAAGAGGTACGCGGAGGAGGTTGTGGAGAGCAAGGTCCGGAGCCTGGTATCGAAGGCATGGGCGGCGTAGAATAGCGATCACGACCACGGCTTCCTGGAGCGGCGTGGCGGGTGGAGTGTATGGCGTGAGATTGAAAGAAGCCGCTCGCCATTAATTGGTTGTATGATTCTAAGACATCTTCCCTCGATGGGCGGGTGGCACCGTTACCCAAGTTGGGCAGATCCGGGAAGTTATACATCTCAGAGTGGGATTTAGCAGCTCGGAGATGTTCCGGTTGCGGTGCTGGAGGGGATCGACGGTGAAGTGGTTCTTGAAGACTTTTATGTTTCCTCACTTGCTCCATCTTGTGCGTGCTACCACTGCTCCGAGAAGACGACGACGACGAAGAGCTCCATCCCAAGGCATCCCGAACTCGGCCAAAGAAGCCCGTGGATTTCCTATGAGTGATGATGTGGTCTTGCAGCTTGGCTCGCGGAGACATGCTGCTCTCGGAGAACGGCCGGCGTGTCTTGCGTGCATCTCGTTGAAATATTGACGGCTCAGCGTAGAACTGCTTTTCGTATTCTTTGAGCTGGCCGGGCTCGAGGAACTGTTTGGGTGGTGCAGCGCTGACTCGATCGTTCATAGAACCCTCGACAAAACGTGAAGTAGGTGGACGGGAGCCGCCATTCTGTGTTGAGGGCCTAGAAATATCGAAGGCCATAATGGCGACGACTATGATGAGTGCTTCGAGAAGGCAAGTCTGGCGGCTAAAGGAATCATTAGAAGAGCGGTATGAAAAACAAGAATTGAACCCCAGGTTGGGATAAAGGATAGAGGATAGAGGATAGAGCGTATGTTTACATTGTAAGCTGCAGCCAATCTGTTGCTACCCCAGCTGCAATTACCGGTGGGTCGGGGGGGCAACCGAATGCTCATATGTATGCAAGCTAGGGCTAATTACCCGCCAACGAATCTTGCCTATTTTATGTTAGTTTTATGCTAGTTAAATGAAACTAGTAAGAACATTAACCTAACTGGGGAGGTGCATGAAACTAGGTACAATACCCGTTGCTATGAGGTGAACTAACACTGAACTAACACTCCTATTTCAGAATCAATTACCGTAAACGAATTGAAGGACCGCCATGGGAAAACCCCTTTCGAGCAAGGAAAAGATTCTGCAACCGCTTAGGGAAGAATCGTGAACTTCAATAGAAAGGCTGCCGTTTATGTACTCTGGCGGCCAGGTGCGATATGGGGAGGTTGGATTCCCAGAGCTACCATACATACAGCAACTCGAGGTTCCGTAAAGTCAAATTCTTTGGTACACATGCAATGACCCCTCTGCCAGTTCACGCTAAATGCATATTTGGTCGTATTTGCTGATCATGACAACAACCATCATGATTCATATATTTATTTGTCCATATATGTACAAAAGCACCGCTGTACTCACTGGAATCCCTTACACCAACACATGAAAATTTGGAACATGATTCCAGCCTAATAATAACGGTATTGTGATATCGCCGACCGCCAACTGCCAACTCACCGGGTATGCTCTACAATCATTGCTGCGCCTTCGGTGAACCAACCCCAGCCGTTCAGTACCGCCTTGTAACCTTCTGCTTTGGCATATGCAGAAATCTTGTAATCATAGTAATTTCTAAGCAATCCGATGATGTAAGTGTTTGTATGTGAAAGGAAAATGCGTAAACATCGCGAGACATCCCGGCAAACAAAGCCTGGTATGCTAAAATGATGTACGTAATGCAAATGAGTGGTAAGGTAAAAAAAAATAAAAAATAAAAATAGCGGGAACATGGGAATAAAAAGTGCAGCCGTCAATCCAGTACAGTCCCCTAGAGTATATACAAAAAGCAAACTGCAAAAGTCATGGGTGCCGATCAACACCCAACGCCAATGCAGACCGTTGATATTGTCAGTGGAAGAAAAAGAACATCCGTAAATATGCTATAATCGTTACGCGATGGAATCGGGGAATGCGGCTGGCCGCTGCGAACCGTCGGCCCGTCTATAAAATGGAACTCCAGGATAGTCTATCGTAGGACGGTCGCCGTTGACATTACGGCCCTGTTGGGAATTAGATGTAAGCTCATCGATTGAGCGCTTCACAGGTCGAGACTCGATATGTGGATACATCGGTCTAGGCAGTGCCGATATTGAGCCGGAACGATCAGGATAATAACTTGGAGACATTTTCGGGCTTGCGATTATAGCAGAAAGTGGAGGCATGGGCCCGACGGAAGAGGAGGTGGGCGGCCGAGTAGGTGCTCGGGACAGTGGATACGGGGCCGTTGGTTTAGCCGAGATTGTCGAGTAACTGGATGAAGATCTTCTCCTAAGATCTGGATCACTAACAGGGGATTCATAATGAGGATAGCCCGGAGGTGCATAACTAGGTGATGGCGGCGGTGGTGGGAAGTTGTTACTCTGAGGGAATATCGATGCCGCAGGAGACACGGGAGTCGATTGGCTAGAAGATGGTGCAGGTCCATAAGGCTGAGCGAAACCTGTATTTCCACCATGTCCGAAGTTGAGCATAGTCGAAGGAGCTTGGCTATTTTGATATAACGGTGGCGGCGGGCCATATTCAGCATTCGAAGGGCGCCGCGGGTGCTCCGGTGCATACGAGGCACGATCCATGCTCGAGTTACTCATAGACCGAGCACGATAGGCTTCAGGAGTTTGTGTTCTATGTCTTTGACGTCGAGCGTACTCCTCTTCCGCATTGTTGTCATATTCGCTAGCTGCAGATGCCTTGGTGTCGCGACGTCTCATGCGAACATCTCGACGGATACGGACTCGACAACCTTGCTCGGCAACCGTGCGGCTCAGGGAGGTACTCTCGGTTAATCCGGGAAACTTCTTCGCGCTATAGACGATGAAATCTGATGACCTAAGGTCCATTCGGTGGTTGGCATTTCCTGCACTAAGATCTGACATCCCATCATCGTGATCCGGAAGGGGCGCATCTCGGTCCTGGTCTTGCTCCTCTTTAATCAACTCGTACAAACTGAACACCAAGCGATAACGTCCTTCGTGGCGAACTGAAAGATCCGGGAATAAAAAGTACCCAGCTGGGTCCGGTCGGTCGAGGTAACAGCATCCCGATACTGGGAATCCGGTAAGTACGGGAGGCGACGTGGCTGCCGGGGTTTGCACCCTGCCGTGGGCCATGGGGCGGGCATGCTCAAGCGAGGCGTAACAGAAGAAATCGACATTATAGTCGAACGTGATATCCCTAGCACCTTCGAAATGCTCTCCTTCAAAGACCCTTAGGGTCACAACAGGCGGCGGATCGACTGGCCGACGGTCGGCAGAAGCTGTTTCTTGGTTAGTCACATTTGAGACTCGGTATTGGTCAGAAACATTGTAAGTGGCTTTCCATACACTTGGGTCCGGAACCACATGCTCTCGCACGTTCGGGCTGCTGCAGAACATCCAATTGGTACCATAAATGTCTACCACCCCTCGTAATGCGCTGCTCGCGAGCGAACATTTTCGGTTCTGCCTGAGGGATAATGACATTCACCAGATTTGACTCGGGCTATATCATAATCAAATCAGCATGCAATAATCACGATAATGCGCCGACGCCTGATAATCGTTCGAAAAAGTGTTCAAAACGGAGACCAATTGCACGGCATCGCGACAAGACGGAGTGGTATTGCCCAAATGGTATTGGGCTCGACTATGATTGCGACATACCTGAATAGGAAGCATTGTGGACATTCTACTTCAGAGGGGGAAAAAAAAATAACGTATGTAATGATATGGGGAATTTGATGTATTCCCAAAACTAAATCCTACCAGCGATCCCACGGTCCCAGAAATTCGGTCCGTCAGGTGAAAGAGGACCAGAACCAGACAAGCGGAATTAGGTTTAACTTGATCGCGGGCATAAACGAAAAAAAACTGGCAGGCGAAACAGATAAAAAGGAATCCGTCAAACTGGGTCGAGGGCGAAGTTTGTTTAGTAGGGAACCCAATACACTGGCTTCTAGCGCGAGGCAACTCGAGAACGATGCGAACGGTCGGGAACGATGACGGTAGAGATTAAAAGCAGATGTGACCTGGAGTTTTAGCAGTTGCTTCCCTGGAACTTTGTCTCGCTGCCTTGATTTCGTGGGTGGCCAGGATCGACTCAGCTCGACGGTCAGAAGTATCTTGATTCTGGCCGACGACGAGGCCCACAAACAAGAAGCAGACGGTTGCTGGCGAGTTTGTCGTCCGAGTCGTCCGAGTCGTCAGAATGATGGGATGGAAAGTTTGATGTGCGAGGAAAAAGAGGGAAAAGAAGAGCCGGGCCGGGCGCCCAGAGAAGGGGAGAAGCCAGTTGTGTGGATGCTGAGAGTGGACTAGTTTAGAACGTGGGAGCCTATGGTAGCGCTTGAGAGGGCATTTGGCAGATTGGGCGATAGCACGAGTGCAAGGGACATGGGATTGGCCCGAGCAAAATCAACCGGGGGGATTACATAGTAGTTAGTACGGGGAGGCACGGGGGGGGGAAGCAGGCAGAGGGGAGTGGAGATGATTGCATCGGGTTCCCTACCTGTGGGTCGAGTTTCACCAATGAGATATAGTATCCCCCACCCCCAAGTGGATTCTAAGCCCCACCATGATACCCACCACCCTCTCATCGCCTGTCCCTGTCTTGGGAAGTCATGCCCACACTGTAAGGTTAAGCAGCACCCGTCCCAGAACTCCCAAGGACAGGGGTACCTGGAACATTCTGACCAAGCGGCTTGTATAAGAATGGAAGGTCCTCCACTCAATTTCAACCCGGCAGCAAATCCCCGAATGGATTTATTCAACAAAGCCAAGAACTTCAGGTTAAGCCAGTCCCGTCTCCTTGGACCGGAGACGGTGTTAGTATATAATATCTCGTACTGTGTAAAATTTATGCTGCTTCTTACATAGGCGTGCAGACCCGTGCAGGTTCCGCGGCGATGCAGTGTATAAACCGGTGGAGTCGCAGCGCCGCAACAACGCAACCGGCCAACCAGCGGGTCTACCACGAGCCAGGATTTTCCATCGTCTGAAGTTTTTCTGAACGGTTCGCGTTTTAAAGAGGCCAATGTCTCGCAAAAGTTTTCGGCCACTCTGCCACTTCAGAGAGGCGCCAAAATATTTAACGGGACCTAGTTCCCCCATTCCCGTAACCGCGGGTAGAGCCGACATTTGCAGTAACATGCATGGAGCACTAACTAGCAGATCAGGCCTTTAGGCGATGCTAAATACCATGTTCCCTTCCCGTACGCTAGCGCAAAATATGTATTATAAGGTAGGTATAATAGATGCGTGCTTCGCATCTACTCGAGGGCAGGTTCGAGTTCTATCCACACAAAATAGTTACAATGGAATGTTTAAGTTAGTTGTTTGCTTACGTGGATGTATTCAAGCGGAAGAAAAAGAAAATGCTTAACTATTAGCACTTTTTAATATACCTAACACTACGACTAATTAGGTAGGAAAAAGAAGGCATTCGATCCATGAGACATCAAATTTTTACTTTTTTTTTTTTTTTTTTTAAGACTCAATTTTTAGCAATTAGTAGGTAGTGCTTGGCGATCTTTCTTATTCTTATTTGGAGATTAAAGTTGCAACCGAAATGACCGATCGTTTAGAACCATTCTTTAAAGCCAACGTACGTCCGTTTACATACCTGACTTGTGTAGGTACCTAATTACCTAAGTGCCTAATTTCGTATATGCCCTTTACTCCAACAGCAGATGTTTAAATAGCCTCTATCCCTCTTTCGTATTAGCCACCTTTTCTTCTGGGACGGTGGATCGCAAATATATTACACTAGATGCAATATACCTGGGTAAAGCTCACCTGGGTATCATGTATGAAATCAAGTGGCATTACCACATGGGTTTCAACGCATTGCGGGTAGAACCCGAATGGTCTTATCTTTTCGCCGAAATCTTTATCTTGCTATAACTATGATATTTATATTTCTTATATTCTTAATAAGACCGACTGAATGACGTTAAATAATCTTTTGTTCCAAATATGAAACTCTCTGCTTTAAACTTGCATACCGAATCTTACTTTGTACATATTGTACATAGTAGCTGTAGTTTTCACGCTAATGTCTACTAATAATAAAGGTGGTTTGCTACAAGTATGTATGTAGTACGTACCAGAGCTAAGGTTAAATGCCGTTTAGTGTTATTTTAAGTGGCTTGTCTCGGAAGTAACGAATTATGATACTAAAATAGGCTTAAGTCATCCATATTTTAAGCGCTGTGCCGCTGAAAGCTTTCAAAGTTCTCACCGAGATCATACATTCTGTTTCTGTCCCCAATAAGGATAAATGACAAGATGTCAATCGACAACCTTCCTACCGAGAGCAAAATTTGGTTCCATTCAAAAGCTTGTTAGGTACCTAAGGGACAGCTAATAATATCGACTTAACAAGTTACATAACCGTGGATATTTCTACTATGTAGTTACCTACAGTGACCATTCACAACACTTACAACAATTTACGGACCCAGACACCCGGGATGCCAATCACTATCCACTCGACCCCATCGGCGCAAACGTGCTTAAGGCCGAAGATCAGAAACAAGGACTGAGTGGATCTATATCATCTGATACGTCAATTGGCCTATGCGCTGCATATCTCCATGGAGTCAGGGACTCAAGAATTTAAGATTTCCACGGGCGTTGGAACCAAGTCTTACTATGCGAAGCTCCCACGTCCACGTTGACATTGACAAGCGGCACCTAGAAATAAGCTCGGCACCACAACTTGGCTGGTGTCAAGATGAGATGACGTGCTGCCACTACTTACGGTTACTACGTAAGGTTTAACTTTGTCGAAGTCGGGGTAGCGATTCTCAAGCTCTAAGCTCTCAAGCCCGGGACGGGTCAGAGGTCCACTTATTAACTTATCAGGAAGGGCTCGTCTTATGTAGTCTTAGGGGTTAGTTGGCACCGAAGCTACGTCTAACATGGTGATAGGTCATACGGATATAAGTCATTGCATACTATGTACATAGCACAAGTACGGCCGAAACCCTGTCGGTCCTTTGCTCTGGGAATACATACTGACTCGACAGGCCCATTATTCTTCGCCAATGTGTAATAACACAGCCTACCCTTACATACATAAAGAAACCCGAGCTAACGGCACCGGTTGCTCCAAGAAATGTATAACGTTTACAAGGGTCTTTAGTCCGTTGGACAGCAGCAATGACTAGGACAAGAAGAATGACTATTTTAGCAAATCAAAATCAAAATCAAAATCAAAATCAAAACCACCAACATCCAGACATACTGGACCTAACCTAGGCACCTAATCTACCCAACCTTCCAAGCTGAATCATCGCATGTCCCAACCCGCCACCGCTAATTAATTAGGTTATGTAGGCATATTCCATTTTTACATACTTTACGAGGTCGTTCCAGTCCACGTGTATGTCTTGCAACATCGTTTACACTTTCCTTTCCTTGCCTCGCGCGCGCGTAGCCAAGCCAGTGGCCAGCCGCGCAGTCGTCTACCTAACATACCGCATACGTGTCGAATGGGTTTATGACGCGGTTATTGACACCAACTCCCGCCATCATTTATGGCCAGATTGTTAGTGATAGTGTCATGGTCATGGTAAGTTGGCAGAGCGGTCTAGAAGCACATTTTAATATTACGAGTCACTTTACAACGACATCATGAGAACTTTATCTCTATGTTCCCGAGTTCCCGATGGTGGCCAGGCAATTTGCTATCCGCGCTCATGACCGTATCGAAATATTAAGTACAGACCATCTACCCTCGAGCCTACGTCGAGAGGGTATTTAATCGCAAACGGTCGAGGAGCCGTACTAAACTTATGTGTAAGCATGACTCCGAGATGCGTGAAACCTATCCCGGCTACCCACATAAGGATATTCTATCAAGGAATACGACCGGTATAGTAACCGTGACTAGTAGGTCTTTTGTTATCTGCTGTGTAGCCTTTGTTGGCGCCATTTTGAAGAAACAGAGGCTATTGCATAGTAGGGGGTCATCAATTCCAGTCTTAGCTGTCTTACTTGATAATGAAGGATCCTCCCAATAGTTGGCCAACTAAGGAAATCCACGGCGTAGTTCTTAATAGGTACGCCATCGCGTGAGCACTTCACGAGAGAGTCGATCTTCGATCTCTCGGCGATGCTTGAAATTAGGCTAAGAAACAATGTGGTGTATCCCGCTTTTGTGAACATAACATATGATAGATACCGAAGCCGGCATCGATTGCGGCACTCCTAATACCAGCTCTGTATCCAAAGCACTCCGTCTGAAGTCCGAGATGCGGCACGGCCGGTTACACTAGATCGATTCCCATGTATACGAAATATACTGCATCCAAAAGTAGCAGAGTATTCTCAAGATAACCAAGTAGGTAAGCATCCTAAGCGGCGCTTCTAGCTAAGACAGCCAGACAGCATATACTCCTTTCCAGCCAGCCACGCCTCGGTCCACGCAGGCAAGCAAAAAAAAAAAAAAGAAGAAGAATTTTCTTTTCTCACCCAACCAAAATGTCGAGACCCCGGTTATCTGCGTCGCTCAAGTCACACGGCTTTCTCAGTAGCCGAAACCAGGTTTGTCACACTGGCCTGGTGATCAAACAATAATACTCTTTAATCGCCAGAGCTTTTTTAACGGCAAAGCAAACTTGACCGGGAACCAACAAGCCCATTCACTTTATGATATGTCGGGACGGGTCCTAGACGACCAGTGCTCAGCCCAAGGTCGGTCCCGTCTGTCTACACTATGTATGTATGTATGTATGTATGTGGCTTGTTTGCTGCTGCAGAAGCAAGGCAAGGCAAGGCAACGGCAAGGCAACGGCAATAGCGTCGTGTCATATCATATTTAGCACACGGGACGTCTCTCCCTTCCAAAGCCACCAACACGCGCAATGGCAGGCCTATGAGATATCAAGCGGCTAGCGGCTCGCACCCGGTACCGAGAAGTGCGCGTATCCGGGATCATTTTTCGGTGCTTGACATCCGCATCCCGGGCCCCATACACACTCCCTCCCTTCCTTACCAGCCCATATTACGGCTCCCCCCTCCCACTCCTACTCCTCCTCCCACCACCAGGTCTGGTCTTACTGCTTGTCCCACACCCACACCCACACCCACCCCCTTATCCCCCCATCCCATCCTCATCCTCACCCTGTCCCGCAGCCGTCGGCGGTTCTTCCTCCTCTGCCTGTAACTGCTCCTCGACAGCGGGCGCAGCTGCTGCGGCCACTCGAAGACTGGGTCGAGCCAGCGCTCGGGCACGCCCGAGGACGTCGCTCGCCCGTGCCGGCACAGGATGTGTTGCCAGGAGTGGGCGAGCACGCAGACCAGCGTGAGCAGCAGCACCACGCTGACGATGGCCACGGCCATGGCGGTGATGAATGCCTTGGGGAAGTCCTCTGGCACGGGGGCGTCTTTTCCGTCCAGGACTTGCGCGCGGCACGGTGCTGTGTGGAGAAGGAGGACCGAAGGGATGGTGATGGTGATGATGATGGGGACTAGGGATGCCATCGTTATGACACGTCGGAAATTGGCGTCTGTCGGCACGAGTGAAATGGGTATTAGCACTCTTCCCTGATATTAGGACGATCCTCAAGCACAAGAGCGCGCAGGATTGAAGATCATCCGATATGATAATGAGGATAATGAATTCGTTAACGTCCAGCGGGTATGGATAATTACAAGGTGGTAAGCAACCGCCTCGAGCGCGGGCACTACGGGACTGCGAGTCACTCATAAAGCAAGGCAACTATTCACACCCATTCCAAACTCAGATGCTTCATAGAATCATCATATTTTGTTACATGGAGCTTTCCCAGCAGCTCTCCTGTCGATCACGGCGGATACGAGGCAAGAAACAGGTTATGGTAAACTTAATCGGGTACCAGGGCATGCAACTTGGGATTCGCAAAGGTAGGTTTGAACTCATGTGAGGTCTGTTCGCTTGTAACCAAGGATTCCTCGATAGCTAGGGAGAGCAGTTCGTAAGTCCACAAGTTCTATCCAAAATACACCTGCCTGGCTCCTTGAGGACCATGGCTGTACTTAATCGGTAAGCTAGGTAAGCATAGCTTTACCTTACATGGGTAAATATGACGTTGGAAAGGTTATAGGATAACAGGAATATTTCATGCAGAATCGCGTAAGATGCGACACTACCCGCCATTCTATACGCCATACTGTAGAGAATAACAAAAAGAAAAGAAAAGAAAATAACATTCAAGGAGACAGCAAAGAATTCATTGCAGATGTGAATATCGAACAGTTCGTGTCTTGCGATTCATTTTAATTGAGGCTGGCTAATAAATAATAATGTATCTACACCAACCAACAAAAAATCAATCTGCACAAAGTCAAAAAAAGATAATTGCATTTTCCTTGATAAGACGGGGATTCGAACCCCGGCCCCTTTCGGGAGTAGGAAACTCATTGGATGAGTAAAGAGTCAAACTCTTGAATCTACCGCCATAGACCGCTCGGCCATCTTACCATTTCTCGGAAAGTGCAAAGTGCAGGAGGCTTAGTGCCTCGGTTGAGGTTCTGGCTCGGATTTTGCAGTTATATTCTAGTGGCGCTTGGTGGTGCGCAAAGTTACATACCTAGACAGACTGCCCCGCAGACTGGTGGCGGGGCTGCGCAATTCTCCGAGTCTGACCCGATGTCCTGCCGGATGGCATTTTCGCTTCTTTAGGTACCTAACCTTAGGTACGTACGTTTAGGAAGTGTTACCATCGAGCTGCTCTAATGATTTAATTCGCCATACCATGTAACCTATGTAGTTCGCTTCCTTTGAGACATCTACGACATACTGGCCCTAGAAAATATGCATTATTCGGAAAAGGGCGCGAGAAAGAAGTCAATACCCATACCCGTGTAGTCCACAGGTACAGCAGATATTAGGTGTTAGCTGGTCTACTTCTACTCCAAGTAAGTATATTTCTATAAAGGTAATTTAGACAAACGTCTTCAAGAGGTCCTCTAGAAATACCAGCTCGTCGGAAAGGTTTATAAATCTAGTTGGGTTTCATGTTCGGAATTGCTATCCTAGATTATCTATAACGGATCAGCTTTGAAAAGGCATCCGTTCATCATCGAAGTGTACTTTGCCGATATGATTCAAGCACCTGTGCTCTTCGATCGTAAGATCTAGGTTAACTAGCTGTTATTGCCATCCTATCTATCCCTTTAACATTTGATATGCCCGTCATATTGCCTAAGCTACACCGTGAACACACTCTCCACGTAGGTATTCCCAGAACCTAACCTAGGTACTTTACACACCTAAGCCTACCTAACCTATTACTCCACGCCATCGAACCACAACAGGAGGTACCTTACCTACACAAATCCGCAAAAACAATCTTCAGCACCGAGAAACCATCTCATACCCACTAACCCCACAATCCTACATTTATGTAGACCCGCAGCACCCGATAGTACAGCCCTAAACGCCGCTAGCCACGAAGCCACACCAAGGGCAACCAAAATATAGTCCACTATAAAGCATGAATCTGTCATCAACCCGCGGGGATAGCTCAGTTGGGAGAGCGTCAGACTGAAGTCAAACTTCATTCTAACATCTGAAGGTCGTGCGTTCGATCCGCACTCACCGCAACCAATCTTTTTGCCCCTTCGAGGGGAGGGTATCAGAGTGAAATTTATAAGTTCGATTCGCACCCAGTCTTTTTTTTTTTCTGCCTCCTTGCTGCCCTTTTTCTGGAGGTCATGAAGGGGGGACATATAGATAGCCCTGACCTAGTAGAATCTGCATCGAGGTGATGATGGGCTGGTGTCTGGTAGGCTATGCTTTGGTAGGCTGGTGAGCAGATGTCAATACGAGGCTTTTAGCTCCGAGCGCGATATCTTCCTAGGTATTCACATACAACTGACCTAGGTATTATGAATCTTATTGGCCTAGGCGTAGATGCCATCTTCGTAGACCCTAAAGCTCATCCCATATCCCATTGCATCGCCCCTTTAGAATATTGAATCATCTTCGTACCATTACTTAGCGTACTATGAATTCATGCGGTGCGATGGTGTAATAGTATATATAGTACATACAAAAACAGCAGAACCCCTAACTAAAGGATCAATAGCTATCTATCATATGGACGAATGAAGTTCTTACATATAAGACAACACCAGACAACATGTCAATCCAATGACAGAACCATCTTCACCTAAAAAACAACATCAAGCAACATCCATACCGAACAGCGAAGGGATATTTATTAACCTCAACTACCCATTAATATTATTAGACTGACTACCTACTAAACCCAACCACACCCAACACCCACACTTATTACTACAAAGGGTATAATGTCCATCCATCCATCTTCCTAAACGAGCGAAGGGGTATATATATATATATCATAACAATTCGCGACCGATCCCGCATCCCAATCAATACAGGTCGTCACAATTCGTCGGTCATTATAGTCGTAAAGAGTGACAGGCCCAGCCTACCATGGTTGACACCAAACGAGGTTAGGTGAGAGGGGATTTCGAGCGTATCATAAGCACAGCACCGAGGGCCCGCAAGCAACGCTCAGCACTCACCAGGCAAAAACGCGCGATCCATGCCGGTACTCCGTTTATTTTATTTACGCCGTCTGCTCGCCGACGACGGGCGCCGCGGGGGCGGTAGCCGTCTTCTCGGGGAATTCACCGGCTTGGTGGACGCGGCCGTATCGGGTGAAGGCAATGTTAAGCCTGCCGTAGTCCCACCTTCGGGAAAGGAAGAGGAAGGCAAAGGAGAGGACGGGGACCAGGAGGACGTCCAGAATGCCGAAGAAGATGTATCCGGGGGTCACGCCGATGCGGTTGCCGCCGTCGGATAGACCCCAAGCGATCGGGTACAGGAGCCAGAGGAGGTTGATCCATCCCGCAAGAAGGGTGTCTGCGATACCAGAGTTAGCAATCACCATTCTATCGAGGTATAATGAATTACTTCAGGGTGTCACTTACGGTCACCGGCAACATTGACGCGCCTGGCAGAAGTTGTGCCGTGGAAGAGGGTGCTGAACGCGAGAAGGACCCACGAGATGGTTCCGAAAGCGTAAAAACCCCATTTGTAGTTGGAAGTCGTGAAGGCGGAGACAAGGTAAGAGATAACCCTACTATCTGTTAACACACGTTGAAGATTTATATCGGATACTACGAGTTCTACTCACCAGGTCCATGCCAAGGCGACATTGTAAAGGATAGTCGCCCAAGAGACGCCGCTCAGGAGGCCAAGGGCGATAGTGACGACGGGGAAGCTAACGGCCCAGTTGACGTACTCAGCCCAGAAGATCTGTCGTGTCCATAGCTCCGTAGGCTTGTAGTTGATAACCGGGATGACCTCGTAGGCGAGATCAGAAGCAATGGCGAAGTAGGAGATGGAGCCGACAAGGAGGGCGATGGTAAAGAGGTAATGGAAGATCTTCTCGCCAGATCGAGCTACGAAGCTAGTAGCGTAGAAGATAATGAAAGAGACAACGTAGATAGCCGTCACCGCCCATAACCAGTCGCTGCCGTTAACGCTCAGCTTCTCACTGCCGCTTGGAGGGTTGATCGAGAGAGCCTCGTTCGCACGATAGAATATGACACCCATGTCTATGGTCTGTTTTGATAATATCTACCAGGCAAGCCGGAGAGTATTCAAAATAAAATTCTTCACTTTCAAAGTGAGAGGTAGAGAAATTTTCTAATATAACTTTTGGATCACGGTAGTCGCTGTGATTTGCTGAGTAGCTGAGTAGCTAAGTAGCTGAGGTAGACGAGTCAGAAGACGAAGGGGGACGAGGCTCATAATATAGGAGACGGCCCCCTTGCGCTCACATCTAAGATACAAAGCTGTATAGTTGCATCATCGCGAGGGCCGGAGACCAATAATTGGCGATGAGTCAATATCCCAGAGTGAAGCAATAGGTCAAAGCCGAGATCCGCACGAAGTATTCCGGCCATACGATCATATGATTGCAAATTTTGTACATATGGATGGAAGCTTCCACAAAAGCCGGAAGGGTGCGAGCGACGGACCACGACGGGTTCTAGCGATGCGTTTGTGGCATGGGCTGGACTGGAGTACATGGTTCTCGAGCCAATATGGTTGACGATCCTTCAGCCCTGATGTGGAGAAAACTACCACGAGAACGTGGCAAACTTACAATATCTATCCGTCCGTATTGGTAATCATTCATCTCTATGTAGTGTATAGCTAGGAAATAATAACCCCAAAATACTACAAATAGCTCTACATAGAAGCCCGAGGCAATGGATTATTATTCCCATCCCATCGCGGGAAAGGTCATGAGGGCGTAACTAACGCCCGGATATGTATGTATGGTCAGCAAAGACGGCTCGGCAATGGCGACGAGAAGTCCAACCAACAGACCATGTCAGTGAAGAAACGACCGACCATTCGAAGGGCTCTCACGGCAGCATCGGATGAGCTAACACAAGATGCGCGATTCGAAAATAGTGTACTATGTAATGATAGGTCCCCACCGAATGCTCGACCACGTTCTGTCTAAATGAGGAACTGGGTAACTAGCACCAGATAGAGCTAGCATCGTTGAAGCAATGCCGGAGCTTGCAGGGGCCTGGCCCTGCTGCCCTGACAACATAGGAGACTTGGAGCTCCGCACTTCCGATGAAGGCCGGGAAGGCGAAAGCATCGAACGTCGCGAGGGTAGCAGTGAAATAACTAGGAAAATGTATAGTGGCGTCTACTTGACGTGACGTGATTGTGTAATTAAAGCTTTCCCCTTTCTGTATGTGTTATGTGCTATGTGTTATGTGTTATGTGAAGAATGAGATACCTACTCGATTATATTATCTTACCACCGCTTGGGCTTCCGAGGGAGTATGTAAACGGCGGCCTTGGAGAAGCTCTCATATTTCGATTTACCGATCTCTAAGCCAAGCCAAGACACCGTCTGGTAGTTGATAGGCCCTCTGTTTCGTCAAGTCCATCATTACCCTGAGCGTCAAGGCGGGAAGTGTCCTTAGAGGGGGGAAGACGAGAAGTTTGGACCATTGAGAGCCTCAATTGCCTGCAGCTCTCCCCAAAGCCACCCCCGGCTTTCACGGAAACGCACCAGGGCACTATGGATCGAGATGCAACGCTAGACCAGTCTCAGATGGCGATCGACTGTGCAGGTGTCACGCCACCGGGAGCCACCAGGCGAGGCCTTTTTTGTTTCCTTGCCGTTGGATTTACATATTATGTATGGTGGTTTAGTTTTTGCGGAAGATGATGGAATGACAAGCTTGTTTAAACGACCTTTGATGCCACCAGGCCACGTTGGATAGATCGGACCACGTAGAACAATTTGTTATGTATTTGGTCAAGTCGATTATCGTTAAGCAACTATTCATTATTAATTATTAATTTCTAGTCGGCGACTGCCGAACAATCCGGACTTTCTTACCTTACATAACAGGTAGGTATGTACCTACCTATGTATGCATTAGCTGCCTTATGTAGTTACCTCATAACCTCATATGTATATGTATTACATAACCACCTCCTGGTCACTTACATACATATGTACATGTATGTAATCACATCTCGATTACGAAATCGAATTGGCTATTTAATAAATTAAACAATGCCTGATGTCCATTTATCACATCGACTACCTCTAATTCCGCTGGTATGCGAGCCGCCCAGACGGGTGCATACAATAGAATGCAGCCTAGCCTTCTCCTCATCTCTCCTCATCTCTTATTCCCATCCCCTATGTACATCTATCCCTACGCATGTCCAGACCACGCCCTCTCACTCGCCCATCCGTACTTACCTCCCAGCAGTTGCTGAATCACACCCGCGCTGCTATGTTAGGTACATACATATGTAGACTATGTATTACAAACACCCTGCACCACCCACGCTGCCCCCTATAATTGGCTCGTACGTATACCTACCTAGCCTTTATGTAAGAGGAATAAGAAGAAGAAGAAGAAGAGATCTCCTCCCCCCGGCGGCCATGGTCCGGCCCATCGCTGCAGCGTAACATCTCCTGCCTTGGAGCGCAACGGTAGGCAGGCAGCACATGTTACATAGGGATCGGCGGTGTACGCCTTAGTAGAAAGTGCCAGTCGAATCAGACAGTAGATATTCGTCCTCTTAAAACGGGCAACGAGGGGGCTTTTAATTACGGCATCGCACGCAGGCTGCGGCCTTGTCTGCAGTCTATGTTGACACCCGCCGCCGAGCAACCATATTTAATATCGCATAGTCGATCAAATTACAGAACATAATACGGCATGACTATATCAACATAGTTCCACTGTTAAAAGGGGTATGTATGTTATTTACAGACACTTCTCTCCCCTCAAAAAACGCCGGTACGCCAGCTCCTAAAACCCTTTACATACTACCGAATCCTACACTCCCGCCTGGTTATGTCGTAGAAGCCATCAAAGGCCGACCGTGATGATACCTTGCAAGGGTATTTTGTTGCGTCCGCCAAGAGAAACAGTTTGGCTACCCTTTATTATACAAGTCCTCTCGTATTGTCGGGTAGGGTCGATGAACGCCGTTGCTACATCAAAAGCACTATTCTGTTGAAAATAACCCTGCCTCCTATGCCTAGTATGCGGGTTTCATCTGCCATAATGCTGACTTTGCTCGTTCGCGCACGTCAAGTTCGTCGTCCCCCTCCTTAAGGGCTTCGAGCTTCGTCAAGAACCCCAAATTCTTCAACTCCTGCGCCCGCTGTGAGCACCCAGGACCATCACTAGCATTATCCTGCCATGTCAAATTATTGATTAGGTGACATAGGGCAACTCGCACCTCCCTGTCTTTGCTTGTAAACAGCTTTTGAAGCTGCCTGAGTAGTTCCGTCTGAGACACTACCAGCTGCCGGTGACGAGGTATGCTAGCTGCGATGTGAACCAAGATGTATATGACTGATACGATAATTTTGGGTTTGGGAGGCGCAATGCGCGTCTCGCTGCCTGTACGGTCTCGCCGGCTGAATGGATGAAAAACCTTAGTTCGTAGTTTGGAGGCGAGAATCTCGAACAAACGGTCTTGTCCTAATGTGCTGAATAAAAAGTCGATCATCTCGGTCGTGTCATTTAGTGAGTCAGCACTACCACCCGAATGTCCTCCACCGATCAGATTCCGGATAAAATCAAGACCCTGCTCCTGAATCGCTTCGTCATCCCCTCTAGCCTTGCGAACAGGATCCAGATCATTCTCTCGGAGTGCCTCTAATTGTTCCTCTGCGAGCTGTAATATGCGGATATCCGTATGGGCCAAAGTTGCGGGTGACTTGTAGAAGGAAATTGAAAGCCAGGCGCGGGATTGGTTGTCGGCAAGGCCCATATCTATATCTTCATCCATGCCATTTAACGTGCTTTGAGCCGCCTCCCTATCACCCCGCGTCTTCGCCGAGTAAAGCGCCTCGTCTTCAGTATCGTCGCATATGAGACGGACTAACCATCCGGACTCGAGCTCTTCTACGCATCTCTTTTTGAGATCGATACTTGCTGAATGGACCAGATGCTTGAGCGCCCAGAGAGCATTCAGCCGTAAAGTTGCATTATGCGAATGCGCATGCTCGCATAACGCCTTTACGATTCCAGCATCGACAAGAGACTGATAATATAATTAATATTGACCGAATAGTTTTATTGGGGGCGATGGTACCTACTTCTCTCATTGGGCTAAAATCTGTAACAAGGTTACAGGCTAATGCTGCGGCAGCAACCCGTACCTCGACATCATGATGTCGTAGTAGCTGTAGTAGGGGCGTGGATACGTCGTGATCGACTAAAGCCGTTCTAAGGATGTTCACCGAACGAGAGAGTATCCGAACCGCATAACAAGCTGCTAAGACAATTGAAACCGGGTTGTCAGGAGTTGGCGTTAGAGAATCGACAATAAGATGAATCACTTCGTGCTCAACAATTGCTTTACGATACTCGTCCTTGAAGGTTGCTAGCGCCCCGATGGCTTTCAGTGCATTCTCCCTCACTTTGACTCGATGGACTAAAAAGCGGTGCTGTCCCTCCTCTCCCAAGCAACAGTCGGGAGACACCTCACCTATCAAGTCCGAGTTCTTCTTATTGAATGCCCAAGACCATGATTTTGCAAGCGGAGGAGGGGCGTCGTAGCTCTCTTTCAGTAACTTGCACACCGTTTTCACTGCGTTGCAGTCGAAGGCTGCCTTCTGTAATGGTTCGCTATCAGTAATAAGACGAGCCAATACGTCAGGCGTTTCTTCTACAACGTTGAGCATCGAGGCGGTATCCCGGCTGCAACTGCTGTAATCAATATCCTTTATTTTAGCGTCAACCTCGCCGAGCATACCTAGAAGGACAGGTACAACGAGTAGGCCTAAGCTTGGTTCTCTAGTGGGGTAAGAAAATCCAGCTTTGAATAGAGATGTTAAGATAGAAGTAGCCATTAACATTTCGCTACCACTCTGGGACCTAATTAAGTTGATAAGCCAAGGTACCAAAGGGCTCTCGGCCTTTTCACTCTCAATGTCACTCTTAGAAGCTGAAGCATCTTCGGATGAGCTTCGCGAGGACGTGGTACTTTGAAACTTGGATGTAGACTGTCCGCCATGGCCTAAATCCTCACGAGGTGTGCTTAATGGAATTGGAGTATGGCTGGGAACTTCAGGTATAGTTTGAGGAAGAAGTAGGTCCATAGGCTCAAAATTCATGTGTTTTGTTGGCGGCCGTTGTACCCCAGGTAGCTCCATTGGTCCTAAAGGTAATATCGGAAATTTAGTTGGATCGATATTAACAACCGGAAATATTGTTAGGATCGAGGGAGAATAAAGTAGCTTGCAAGCGCGGAACCGAGAGTCGCCGATGATGGAAGCGATGGCACCTAAGACTCCATCTAGGCTACTAGCAGGGGTAGCAGGTGCTGGTATGAAGCCCTCTAAGCCCTCAATGCGAGCAATGATCTCGGCCCCCGGAAGGACTTGCCCTTCGGCCACCGCGAAGCTTGCCAGTTTCGTAGCAAGTAAATCGAGAATTCCCTTGCTAAGCAATGCTAATTGGTGGCGTTCATCGCGGCAGAGGTCCTTGATTAAATGGGTAACTATGGATATTTGCGCTTCGCTATCTAAAGTTGGTGGTTTTTGCGAGAGAATATGGTGTAGAGAATCTAGAGGCTCATCGGCGAACAATATTTCGGCAAGGGACGTGGAGGTAATCGGGGAGGTCGACGGAGCATATGCTGCTGCTGCTGCTATGTCTTGCACGACTCGAAGAGCAGCTAGGACAATCTGGGGGTGTCCATTTTGAAGACAGGAACTGTTCAAGACAGCTGGTAGCGCACCGACTGCGTGTAGAGGCGAGAGAAAGGCCGGTCCAGCTGTAGGGCAAGAAGTGTAAGCTCAAAACTTGTACGAAGAGGTGGAAGCAATCACTTTGAGAAGACATACCATTTGCAAAGCTAGCAAGAAGCTGTAAAGCTTGTAGCTTTGCGCTATCTTCATCCGTGAAAGCCGTCAAGGTCAAGAAAGGCAGCCTCGTATCTTCGTTCGCTTTGAGGATATTGGGAGTTATGACTCTAACAATGGGACGGAGAACACCATGTCGAACCCAGTCCTCTTTCTTCTGGATATGACCGATCACCTCATTCTTCAAGTATCGTAGAGCGGTGATCTGTTCCGGCGCAGTTGCATGGAGCCTTGCCAATACCGATTGAGGATCAAGCGCCATCGATAATTAATATATTGTATTGAGTTCCTTATTAAAGTAAAGTAGAAAAAGAGAGGATTTAGCTCGTACAATTGTGATACTATTAACACAACAAGATTATCAACGACGAGCTGTTGTCGCGAACGTCGGATGTGTACATGGATGATGCATAAAGACAATGACATCGGAGGTGGCTAAGCCGACTGTATGTATCTACATATGAGGTACGTACTCATTACCTTTTAGTGTCTTATGTAATTCAACTTTAACTGCGTGCTTATATAGGTAAGTTGCAAGGATGACAAGTGGCTAGCTTAAGTGGTTAGCCTGGAACAGTTCTTGAATTCAATGTTCTTCAGCTGGGTGCCACTTGTGGCGCAGGACGATAGATGGCGGTCAGCTCACCTTAAAAGAACAACAGTCACTTTCCCGCAACAACCGCAGGCCCGGCAAGTCGGCTCTAATCCATGAGACTAATACCTATTAAAAATTAGCAATACTTTGCGTTGTTGCAAGGTATATCCTAGTCAAAGCCTTTCACTTACAAATACCGAAATCACGTCATCGGTATAGCCATTGAAAAGTCGGGTTGCTATTGTACTTGTAGTGCGGTGTCTAATACGGACATATTTGAATAGGTGAAGATATGATGGAATTAAATAAGCTAATTCAACACTTGAAACTATATACAAGTATACTATGGTTAATAGAGGCAGTTACCTATGTATTAAATATAAGTTCGCCAAAAAGAACGGGTACCTTGCCAGATTGTTACACACATTTCCTATTTGCCCCTCCTCTTCAGGATTTTCTTTGCATAGGATATAGGTATATATTCCGGACATGTACAATCTATATATATCTATTTCTAGGCTCGTTAGTTGTAGTCTGCTAGCCTAACTAAGTTACTAATAAGCAACGAATAGCAATCAATCATTCCCTTTTATTCTGATTGTAAACAGTATATGTAAGTGCTCCCTAAGCTACTAATTCATGTGCATACATGATACATGTCTTGTAACTAAGTAAAACGTGCATATAGGATGCATCCACAAAAAGTCCTAATTCTCTTAACCACATAAGGCCCCGACGAAAAAAAGCCAAGTTTATGGAGAATATACATAGGTAGGTAGGTACCTAACCCAAACTTGGATTAACCCAGACCTAGATCTTAGGCCGGGCTAATTCAACGTTCTAAGAAACTAATGGCCGAATGCGAAGATTTTAAGAAGGGCCTTAGCCTCTTGGGTAAGAACCTGGATGAGACCGATAGGTGGGTCTCCACATGGTCTTTCTTGCCCGAACAAATCAAAGCAGCACTTTTCAAATTTGCCCTTCTCCTTCTCTGGTGCGTTCTCGGCCTACTACCAAACCCTCAATCCCTCAATCATGAGTTCGAGCATGTCCCACCACCGCCTTTTACATAAAGCAGAATTCTCGTCAGCTTTTGACGGATTATCACCTAATGAATATCTTGTTGTATAGGTAAAAATAGACTTTCTACCTGCGAGCAAAGCGAATCATTCCATGATATCGCCGTTCATATGAAAGTCCAGATTCGTTGCGGCCCAAACTGCGATTCTTGCGACCCCTGTGACTGTACGATCAACGCGGTTGAGACATTATGACGCCTTGGAAAACATGTTAACTTCGTCGCCATCAATACCAGGAGCTACAAGCGCATCGCCTAGAACATTTCACTATGCAACCTCTCGCTCTCCCCAGCAATCGCCCAAGATAACGGTACCCTTACCGCGCCGTCAGTCCAGACACTCTCTATCGCGCACCTCGCCTTCGACACCTCTACGATCCCCGTCGCTCTCCAAGCCGAAACAATATGTTGGAGTTGATGCAGCTACGCAGTACTCACCTATGGAGCCATTCGACCCTACGGTCCCGTTACGGTCCGCCCAAGTATCGGGACCAAGGATATCGAGCTCCACAGCCTCAGCGATAACGAAGACGACGAGCCAGCCCAAACAGCAACCTACCGCACCGGACAATGCTCCCGGGCCAAGTTCGACACCGAATAGCTCTTCCAAGATCGAATTCCAAACACTTTCTCCCAATAAGAGACGCAAGTCGCAAGATCCCATAACGATCGACCCGTCTTCGTCGGTGGTGGCATTAAGCCAGCCGAGCTCCCCAAAACGGACAAAACCTAACGAATGCCCCCCCAAGGTGCTACCTCTGAGATACGAATTATGTGATAGGGAAGACATGGTAGTCCTAATCTCAAATATGCTTGGGGAGCTTATCGAGACAAATGACTCGATAGCCATGAAAAGTGGCCATCTCACAAGGTTTCATTCTAGGTACGCTGTGACCAGTTCCCATTGCGGCGTGATAGCACTAACCCGGTATACAGGACGGCACCGGGTATATCAGTATTAGATTATCTACAGCGACTTGCGAAACACGCCACTCTTACCCCTCCTCTTCTCCTATCTATGGTGTCCTATATTGACCGCTTATGCGAGGATTACCCCGACTTTACTATTAATACCTTGACAGTACACCGGTTCCTTATTACCGCTGCCACGGTTGCGGGCAAAGGTTTATCAGATTCGTTCTGGAACAATTCGTTCTACGCACGCGTGGGGGGCGTGAAAGTGGCAGAATTAAAGCTACTGGAACTCGATTTTCTAACTCGGGTGGACTGGAGGATAGTCCCAAAACCCGAGTTGCTCGAGGCCTACTATAAAGGCCTAGTTGCGCGTTGTGCGGGGTATGTCTTGGAAGGGGACCAGTCACCTTCATCTGACGATGGCGACGAGTCCGAAGAGACAGGAACCTCGTAGATTATGAATAGAAGTGGGATATGAGAGACAGACGATGAGGTGGCTCCTGCGGTGAGGTTAAGTAGGCTGTTGGAGACACTACACAAAGAATATTCGACCTTGGAGTTTTTCGGGGACATGGGTTGCATTTGACGCCAAGTGCGCGGTGGATGGGTTAGTACGGCTATTTGGATATTAGACGGAACCATGTTAGCACCGTCGAGCAGAGCCAAGGACATACCCCCAGCGATTGCAATGTTCATAGCGAAAGGAAGAAGGGAAGAAGAAACTTGGACAGGATATCAACCCCAGGGTGGTGAATGGGTTTTACGGTGTCCAGCCTATGGTTTAACAGCTAACTAATGAAATGAAATATATCTTTTTTATTACTATTTAAGATCCTAAGCAGGTCGTAACTTAAATCTTATAATTCGCCCGGGCGCGATGTAACTCACATATGTATAATTGTTGAGGCTCAATCAGCCTTGTTGTTGATCGGAGCAGGGACGGAAATAGTAGGGAACGAAGGGCTACGGTAGGATCGATTGTCGATTGTCGATTGTCTTAGCAGGACTTAAAAATCGGGGAATCAACGGCCGACAATTACGAATAGGTACCTACGAACAACATTCTGGACCAATACTTACAGCCCCTCCCCATTCATTAACAACTCTACGGCATCATATATCACTCGACTTACCTAACTTCGCCGAAATACAAAATAAGAAATACGAAATACAAAATACGAAATACGAAATATAGCCCATGAAGATCTCATCGGTCCTCTCTGGCCTTGCGGCCCTAGCCCTGGCCAGCTCAGCCAGCGCCGCCGACCGAACAGCAGCGATATACATCCAACCCGTATCGCAATCGCCAGCAGCGCCCGCGCCTCTCGCCGAGATCCGATACAACTCGGCCGCGGCGGCGCCCTCGGCAGAAGTTGTATCGTACGAAGCACCCGAGCTACCAGACGAGACCGAGCTGGTGCGCATCGGGGTGTACAACGCGGCGGCGAAGCGGTGGGAGTCGTCGACCTCGGTTGCGTCGGTGGGTAACTTCGGCAAGGGATACTCGCCTACGCTGGTGTTGTCCGTGGACCAGAAGGGCGATGCGTTTGGCGCGGCGCTGAGGGGCGTTCGGATCGATGCCGGGCAGACGCGCGATTTTGGCCCGCAGGCTTTGCTGCTTGTTACGGAGCCCGGGAAGCAGCCTGAGCTGAACAAGCCGGTTGTGCTTTCGCCGGAGGGCAAGACGGTGGTGCCGGAGGAGAAGTCGTTCTTCCAGAAGTGAGTATTATGGCCTTGGTCTATGCCTGGTTGTTGGGTTTGCTGGTATTCGTTTGCTAACTGCGGTGTAGGTACTGGTGGTTGATAGGTATTGTGGTAATGATGACATTGACTGGAGGCGGTGGTGAACAGGGCAAGTGATAGATTAGACAGTTGCATACGAGTTTAATTGAGGGCATCCTAATCCTTTCTATTCGGACTATATGATATCTCCTTATATGTCACCTCATCCGGCTCTCCTGATTCTACCGTGATCAAAGCTAGCACTGGGAAAATATAATCACCAGTTTACTTACCTATAACTATCAACTCTATAAGGCCAGTGTAGTACACTTCTGCCCATTAGACTTACCAATCTACTAAACACACATCTATGCACAATTGCACAAGATACTGTTTGAAGCACACATTAACTACATTAATACATGTATGTAGGTTACCTCTATGTAAATAGACAAATAGATACGTGTGTGTTGTACCTAAGTATTCTGTACTGCAGTGTAGCATCACTTGAGCGGTAACCACGTTCCCAGTTCCAACTTCCCATCTTCTAAAAGGCAATCAGCCAATCGCGTTGGCATAATTGGGAACCACTACCAAAAACGCATTAGCTTGCCTTCCAATCCTGGATTGAGTTCTAGAGCGCAGCTGAAGTCTGCACCTAGCAACCTATGTAGCAACCTGCACTGCACACAGTAGCAACCAATAAACATAAACCGCAGGTACCTTTTTTCTTTCTCGGCGGTCTACGGCCTACGGCCTACTTTTTCCACCTTTTCCAACTCACCATCCATCTGAATCCGATTGCGCTACTCTCGCGACTTCGTTTTCGCCGTTGTTCACTCTCACCCACCGTTTTTTTTTTTTTCATCCTACCACCAGTACTCTTACACACTCATATACGTATCTCCCTGATCTCAAAGTCACGATGGCTAGCAACAACGGCGTTACCGTCCCCGGAGACTCTGCCGCCTCCAAGGCCGAGGAGATCCAAACTAAGGGCAAGGGCAAGGCGACCGAGGAGCAGGTTGACACCACTATGGACGAGGACGAGGATGAAGAGGATGAGGAGGAAGAGGTACGTTTCCTAGCATTCTACTATTATCACTTCACACCTATACTGGCAATATTGAACCAAGCTAACATTCTCTTAGGGTGAGGGCGGTAAGCTTTTCCCGTGACTGACAGCATCCCTACTGCACACTCTTACTAACACAACCCCACGCAGGTGACGACGACGCCGATGACAACCTAGACGAGATCGACCCTGGCAATATCGTCGAGGGCGGTCGACGTACCCGAGGCCGTGTCATCGACTGGGCCAAGGCAGCTCAAGACAACCCTGCTGAGGACGACGATGACGACGATGAGGATGACTACGAGCCCGCAGTCGAGGAGCACGACGGCGACAAGATGGACGAGGACTAGATTGGGCACGCACACACACACACCGCCTTGAGCCCCGCATGTGCGCCAGCTAGTTGGATAGGACAGTTCCAACTGGATTTGAGCGAGCTGCCTACCTGTCAATCAATCAAAAATGTCCTCATACATCGTCCCTTGCCCCCTCGGCGTCTAGTAGTCTCGTTGCCGGCATCTATCTCTGCTGCTTTGGGTGTTCGATCTTTCAAAAACATAAACACGCGTTCCAGACGGGGACGGAGACAATAGTCGAATGCAACATGACTGTAGCTTAGATCGACCACTACTCCTGGCTGGTGGCCTGGCATGAACCCAGGACGCGAATATGCGCATGAATACAAGAAAATGAGTATATTGCCACCCTCTAGATCATCGGTGAACTGGTTAGGTGGCCATACGTGAAACTAATAGTTTATCAATCCACCCGCCTCGTGCCCTTTGATGAGTTGGTCCGTAGGTAGTTATTCCTAGATTATTTGGTGCCATAAGGATTACTGAAAATGCGGTATACTATGGCAAGGTAGTAGGTTAATGACTTGATCTGCCATTGTTTTGTCGTTGTAGCCTTGCCACCGAGATATATGTGATATGTGACAATAGACTACCCATGTTTTGTTCACTTAGAACATCTAGACTCTACAGTATTCAATCACATCTGAATCATTGGTGCGAGTCAGTGTACCATGTATGTAATTAACGGACAAATTAATTCTCCATCCAGTAGCCGGTGAAAATCCATACCTTAGGTAGGTACTTAACTAATCATATTCCGTGGACAATTATATTATATCACAACTCATCTAATTGATTTACTGTATTCCAGTCTACTTGGGTTTTTTCTTCTTTCTTTTTCCAATCTCGTCCTTTAAATGGGGCCGGTGAGATATATTTAACCCACCTACCTTCAGGTATGTATTCGCGAATAAGACATAACCGACCTAGATACATATTCGCTGATACGGCAAAATAGCCCCATCTCTTATTATTCTCCGCCAATCAATCCCTTCCATATGGATCCAAACAGGTAGAATATATGTACCTTATAGATCTTCAAGATCGACAGGAGATGTGTACTTCCTATGTAATACCTACTGCATAATATTTTCATTTTGTAGCAATACCTGCAAACGGAATAAAATACTCATTAGCAGGACGTAGAGTGTCTACTAAACTTCACGGCATTGTAGGTGTCATCCATTCCATCCACGTATCAACTAAGTTTGACACCAAATACGGAATAATCACATATAAGTCCTAAAGATATCAATATGTCTAGTGCTATATTCATTAACGAAATCTCTTCTAGAAAAGTAGCGTGATTAATAATAATAATAAATCCGATATATATACCATAGATTCGCTTATATGTCAAGTCTAATATATATACATCAGCTCTCCATTCGAAGTTCTTCCAATCCAAACACCTCTCTTTTATTAAGACACATCTATGTCCCTAAACGCCGTTGCTTATGCATCGTAACAAAGTCATGCCGATTCGTCAAATTGCACCCTCAAGACCGACCAAGGGTATCGTCGCTCGTACGCGTTCCCGAGATACACTTTAACAAGTGTCTAAACTCCTTCCTATCCCGTCCAGGCTTTATATAAGTTCGATAGCCATCCCCATCCCATATTTTATACAGACCAGATTTATAATAATCTCGCTCCCGCCTTAGCATTTTGGGTAATACTCGAAAGTGCCGTACTTCCGTTTCCGAAGCCTTCGCTAAAAATCACTTTATCCCACCAAAAGCGGCACTCATCTTGTAATCGTTCTGTCAAGTTACCTGCCTGTGCTGGGATGCCCTTGTTCTGGCGTCCACGGACCCCCATGCGTTCGTCGTTACCCTCGCCAAACAGGGCCACTTTCCCTACGTTTTCCGCGTTACTAGCGGTTGCGGTATCATTAACGAACGGGCTGATGAACTTCGGCCACGAGAACCCAACCGTATCGTTCCTATGTGGCCCTGAATTTGGGTCTCCAGTAACCGCAAACCGGGACCAGAAGCCATTCATAGAATCCGCCATGGTCATGATGCCTGGATACTTGCTAACAACATTCATGTCGTGAGCTACGATAGGGGCTTCGTCGCCATGGTCTGCGCCACCGTGGGCGTTCGATCGAGCAGCGTAATGATATGCATAAACGGGACCGGCATCGGTCGCCGTCGAGGCCAAATGTGCTGTCTGCAGCACAGGGCATATATACGCGTAATGCCCGTATACGTCGTCCAACCTCCAAAACTGTGATCCAAAGCCAGCAGGTGGCTCAGCAATGTATAATTTTTCCCCGCTCGCGGTGCTAGGATCAGGGTATAATGAGTCGAGTGTTCCTAGGTCTGTCTTATTGAGAGACGGAACGATAGCAGACATTAGTGTGCGCATCGCTGACGAGTTGCTTGCGTGAGTTGGGATGAAATCAGCGCCCTCGTCTGTATTGTAACCCGTCATTATCGGGATACGTAGAACATGTCCCTTCTCCCAAGATTTAATAGGTAAGTCTGGTATTATACCTCCGGGTCCATCGATAGTAGGTTGGAAGGGCCAACGTATACTCGGATTCCAGCGCTGGTATACGCTGTGAGATGCAGAAATAACTTTGTCCAAGGGAAGAGCACGGAGCTCTTCGAAGATTTCATCGTCAGATGTACCATTTAACCCGCAGTGTGTCAAGAATTCTTGGAATTGCTGCTCGTGAAGTGGGTGAGTAGGGTTGAATGTAGCACGAGCTGTCGATCCGCCGGACTCGAGGATTGCTTTTTGAAAAGGTACAGGTGCCGATGTCAACTTATTCGCAGAAGAGTACGATATTAAGTGATGCCCAATCTTGAGATGATGTTAGTATAAGTCATCACAGGCCAAAAGTCACGAAGGTGAACACTTACCGAATGGGCACCAGCACTTAAACCCATTATCGTAACATTATTTGGGTCACCGCCGATGTTGGCTATGTTGTCTTGCACCCATTTAAAAAGCGCTTGCTGGTCCTTTAACCCTATATTCAGCAGACCTTCCTTGGCGGTTACTCCACTCGGCAGGAAGCCAAAGGCTCCAACCCGGTAATTGAAGCTTATGCCAATAAGAGGGGTCTCAGACCATGATGCAAATGCCATCATGTTCCTCTCCTGGCCATTTCCAGAATTAAATCCACCACCATGAACGTAGATCACCACCGGTAACTTCGTGCCATTAACGCCAAGCTTTGACATCTCGGCCTCAGCGGTCGCCGGGTCATCGCTAAAATGGGGTCTATAAATATTAAGGTTTAAACAATCCTCTCCTTGGTCTTTTCCACCAGTGCCCTGAGGGCAGATTTGGCCAGAAGTGATGGCGCGTTGAACATTGCTTGATGTGCCATTTATTGGCTGCGGAGGTCTGAAGCGATTGTTGCCAGCTGTGGACTGCGCATATGGTATTCCGCGGAAGGCTTCGATGCTGCGTGGAAGGTTTGAACTTTGCGCCACAACCTCGCCAAGATAAGTCCCTTGGTTTAGTTGGACTTGTGTTGTTTTCTATTGCATTGTTAGCTCTGGTGTAACAAAGAATATCGATATGGGATTCGGTAGGGTGTGAGAAATAGCAGGGTTAATTGAGATGCCAAGTCCGGCAATCTCGGCAGGCTTGATGGCTAAGCACAAGATGGGAATGTGGTGGGAGGATACAAAGGGATGTTATTCGACAATTGCGACCCATGCCAAGCCGATGGATTGTATAAAGAAGTAAGGCATTGTCTTGTCTCCCTTTCGTACCTTGAATACTTCCTGCAAGTGTCCCCTATTGTTCAGCCATAGGAGAACAGCGAGAAGAACGACAGCGATAACAAAAAAGAAAGCGATGAGAGCCTGGCGAGTCCGGCTTGTACGGATCTTAGTCGCTTGAATTTGTAACCACCGCGGTATTCTGGAACCCGAGGTCTTTTTGTTATCCGGGGCCTCAGGAATTATTGCCTTGGAACTGCCAGTGCTGTCAGAGTCCTTGAGCGAATGTTGGTCCATTGTTTCTTGGCCATGGAGAAGGTCGCGGTGGCCCGACGGGTAAGAAGGGGGTTTATGTGGCTCTATGGTAATAATAAAGACATTTTCCTTCTTGGGCTCTGTCATTTGACTACCTAAACCTGGGTTCCTAAAGCTTGACCTTCTCTTCCCACAGGCTGCAGCTGCGGATAACTGTGCCGTCTATGACTATGATTATTGCCGGGAAGCGGGTATTGAGGCGGAGCATAAAGGAACCAGTGGAACCTTACTTGCCCAGGGGTCAAAAAGCTTAATATGTTGGTAGATTGGCGGTAATAAGAAAAGGTATTTCCGTAGATCGTATATTGCAGACGACAGACGGTGGAGGTTAGGTAGGAGGTAGTTATTTGTAAATGTAACTTGTACAATGTATTGATGGAAAGTAAAGGCGGTTAATGACGAAAGAAGATTCACACTGGTAAATCAATTCAGATCAGTCACATCTGTGGGAACAGATGGCTTTTACGGGGCTATTCAACATTATGTAGGCCCGGGAGGCCCTTTGGTAAGGTGGTGATGCTTGTCGTTTCTTGTGTTTCTTGTGAGTCTGGGCCTGTCTGGACTCGGACTGGGGTGAGAAACAAAGCTGCAGGACCTTTCCCATAACATGTACATAGAGCGAATGTTGTACAAATGGTGCCATTTTGGGTACTTACAAATTCTATGCGCTGGCGGCATCATTTCTCGGTATCTCGGAGGTACATTCCTATGTAAGGCTAGAGTTTATTATACCTTACATGTAGGTAGGTACCTAGGTAGGTAGGACCTCACCATGTAGGTCGTATTACAAATATGTACCTAGGTACCTAAGCTATGTATTTTATGGCATCATCGGCTATTGGATCGGTTTATTCTTTTCTCCAAAGACATCAGTTACACCGTTACGCCGTTACACGTGTCTCCTTTGGTCCTACAATGCAAGAAACTTGTATGACATAAAAGGGGTAAAAATAAGTTGTCTTCTTACAAGTTAGAAGCGCTACAATCACAATTGATGACTTCAAAACAAGAGCGCAAACTCGACGCCGTTAGATACTAACAAATCCATGATTATATCGTTGTCGATCAAACAATAATAGTATCATTAGAAACATTAATTGAGCAATTGACGCGATGATCGACGGGGTCTAAACGTGCTCTCAAAGCCCCCACCGTCAACCCACCGTCGGATCCCTTGGCAAAAAAGACGTCCCGTATTCCTGGGCTGCTAAGGCACATGCAATGCAGGCTTGGACAATTCTAGATCATGGCCGGTTCCTGCCAATTCCTTAGCCTACTCGGTCAAATGGTTGGATGCCAAGCGAAATTAAGCTTCTGAATCCTGACCAACAACAGATCCTTCCTGCCCTCCATCGCGCCCGTGTTAATGATACGTCGCACTATTGCACTATCGCACTAGCTGACTAGCTGAAGAATCTACCTACATAGGTAACCGCGCAGCTTCCTAAAATGGTTCCTTGTGGCACCGCAACTACCTGCTACTTGATCGCCATTGCTCCAAACCCTCGATACCTTCGTCCGGATTACCCTCCACCAGAACGAGGTCGGCCCTAAGGCCAGGTGAGATTCGGCCCCGACCTGGGAGATTAAAATGCTGCGCAGCCAACGACGTAGCCGCCCTCAGGGCTTCAACAGGTGATAATCCAGCACGTACGAGCAGCTCTAATTCGTGATGCAATGATTTCCCGGCCACGATCGTGACGATACCGCTGTTGTTCGCATCTATGCCGGCGAGGATGGGCACACCTGCGTCGCGCATCGCCGTCACGCTATCTAGTGAATACTGGAACTTCCTCCCCCTCAATCCCTCCATGACCCAGCTAATTCTCCACACAATCCAACTGCTGGTCATGGCTTCTATCATCGATAGTGTTGGTACCGTAATCGTCTTCTGGCTGATCATCTTACCAACGATACTATACTATCATACCGAGCTGTATGAGCAGCAGTCTTTTTTCCGTGCTTTTTTGCCTCGACAAGAATTTTATTTAGAACAGCTTGCTCATGGCCTGGGGAATCAGCGATGATCTTGATGCAGTTCGACCCCTTTATCGATTCGATTTTGCACGAACTTGACTGCTTCATCCGTGTTGTGAACGGCATTATCGGGCGAGACACCGCCTAGTTTGAATAGCGTACCATGCCTGGGGTTCTCCTATTGGCGTCGGCAGATTAGTAAATGCTACATTATCTGATAACTACTACTCAGTGAGTATAATTGGAAGTAGATAGCGAGCGAGCGACTTATATAACCCGCCCTAAACCAAAACCAACATAATTATACTACTGACCTCATACGCCGGGAGACTGGAATTCACGTATTTCTCCATCCGGAATGCTCCTAGAAACAGAAGCTATTAGTTTCAGTAATCTATCATCCTTTTTCTTGTCTATCTCCTACTCACGCCATATCGCAAACCGCCGTAACACCAAAAGACGCCCATGAAGCCAACTGCGCCTCGTTGCGGATATGCACGTGGCAGTCAATAAGGCCAGGTGATAACGTGCAGCCCGTGCCGTCGACGACAACAGTCCCTGATGGATCCGGGTCGTCAGCAAGTGCGTCGTCGCCGATATATGACCCCCTTGATAACTACTTATTTAGGCCCTGCAACGGCCTCGCCGTCGAAGACACGGACGTGTTTGGTGACGGTCACACCGCCCATTTTGAAGTGATGGGTTTAAGACAATATATATAATTAGTATTGTATGTAGTACACGTATCTGCTAACGGGAGAACCTTAGTTGATATATGGAACCTTGAATGTATGAGAGTGGGTATACGTACCCAAGGTATACGGATACCTATTTATACCTACATGTAGGTATTTATACTCGGGTTTGGTGTCTCATACGAGTCCTAAATCCGGTCGGGATCGTCAACTAATAGCAGTGATTGGTCTGTAGTCACGTTTTCAATATTCTAACCTACCTACATAGGTATGGCTTAATGGCGGCTCTAATAGATGAGCTTAAACGGAGAATAAGTCGTAGTCTATATTTATATCGGGTTATTAATTCTAGCTTGGAAATTCACGGCAAGTCTGTACGCTGACATCACCGGAGACTTCCCCATATTGCTGGCATTATCCTAGGGGTCAAGCTATGTAGTTTTAAGCACATATTAAATGTTTCAACTACAATGCTGATAGCTCGACGTAATTGTCTTAATTAAAAACTCTGCATTATCTTCGATCAATGCATTAAAGCCAATAATACAATTAGTTGAAAAAAGCCGATGCCAACCTAGAAGTTAGCATCGACTACACCTATACACGAATGACTCCCTGGGTAACGCAATAACTAGCCCGCGACACTACCGTTGAACGCCGGGCCCAGTGCTTTTAAGACCCCCCCCTAACGCACCATGCAAATATACATATTAGTACACTTCAGCCCCTCCACTGATATACCCCCTGAAACTCTGTAGAAACAATATTCCCCTTGTCAATCAGTATGTTGTTAGTGACCTTTTTAAGCCATGACATCTCGTAGTGAGGCAATAGTCATTCTCTTCCTCGCTTGCTTCGCCGCCCACTCCCGGCTCTGCTGTCGAGATCGTTCGGCGGCTTCTTCTCGTGCTAGTTTAGCTAGTGCTTCCCGTTCTCGTTTCTCACGCTCTCGTTCCCCGGTCCAAGAGTTATCCCGCTTGTAAATCTCCTGGCCACGTAGTCTCTGATGTTGTATATCTTCTGTGGACACCGAACTATGCTGCCCACTGGTGCTGTCTACTGTAGAGCTTGAAACACCACGAGGCGGCTGCACTCCGGATGGCTGTGGCTGCAGTCCCCGGCCCCGTGGTTGGCATTGGTTGTTCGTCTTTGAAAGGGGAGAGCGTGGTGTGGGATTAGTAGTCGTGGATGCGCCTTTGTTCCGACCCGATGAATTCTGCTGAGTTGAATTTTCCACCAGATGTACTTTGCTTTGCCGAGCTCGGCTCGCAGCTGTCTCGCGGGGAAAGGTACTGGGCGCAGCACCCGATCGAATTGGTCTGGCCTTGAACTCTCTTCTCTTCCGCTCCTCTTCTTCCTGTGCTCGCAGCTGCGCCTCACGCTCTTCGCGCTTGCGGCGGGAGATGGCTTCTCCCGGCAACTCGAAGTTAGGTCGTGTTGGAGCCTTAGCTGACTTGGCACGTCGAAGGCTTGACATAGTTGGTTTTGTCGCTTGTTCCGTGGCGGCTTGCGTCGATATGCGAGCCTCGCGTTTTTCCTTTAATTTGCGAGCGACTTCGTCCCCGGGTAATTCAAAGGTTGGAATAGTGGGTTTCTTGTTCGACTTGGGTGGCTGCCTTGGTGGTAGGAGACTTGATATGCCTTTGAAGAACGACCTCTTTGATGGGGCCTGAGTTGCAGGTTTATCCTCACTCTTTAATTTTGGAGGATCAAGGAATATCATGGATGCTGACTTGCGAACAGTACGCCGGGGCTCGCTGGTCGAATTTATTCTTATAGAGGCAGAGCTATCCATCATTGGAGTAGTTCGCTTCGGTTGTGGGGTTACAGACCTCGTAATTCCGGCGTTCGTCACGGATAGTAATGGCACTGTGGGTTTGTGCCCGGAACCCGGGGTTCTTGGAGAGAGAATTCGTTTGAAATGAGCTGCCTCATCAAATGCTTCTAATTGCTCTTCAAGTTCGTCAAGCGCCTCCACGGAATCCTCGATTCTAGCGATAGGTTGTGCGGGTGATCTCGGGACAATGACCTCGACATGTCTATCCTTGTCTCTAATTGAACTAGGTGAAGTAGGGGTAGATTGTCGAGTTCTATCCTCTGAGGGTAACTCTAGCTCATTGACCGGTGCAAGGTGATTGCGACTAGATTCTGCGAGGGCCATGTTTGGTCTTGCGGGCTGCTCGTCGTCCGCCAGAACTTCTTCCCCGGGAGCTAAAGGTGACACAAGAGCTATAAAACGTGCAAGAACATCAGCCTCGGTCGGACTCCCGCGCGGGGCTTTGTCGTTAATAGGCAAGAGATTGAAGCCAAGATGTACTGCCTTGAAACTCGGCACAGCGCTGGACTGTGTAGAAGTTTCGATGGGTATTTTTGTAGAAATTATTCCCTCAAACCAGCCTTCGCGATGCTTTGCCAATTGCTCTTTAGCTGAGGGTATGCCTCTGCGTGCAATTTCTATTAAAGGGTGATCCGAGAATTTCTCGATTGCTAGGAATGTTAGGTTAGTACACCCCGACGCAAGGCGGGTTGAAACATGCTGCGGAAATACGTACCTGAAGCAGGGAGTTCGAAGCGATATTGTGTCTCGTTAGAAATACTTGTAGATGCGGATGTGCATGAGCGCAGTGACTCGTCTTCGGGGACGGTTTCGAGGACCTCAAAGGTGTTGGCCGCGATTGCTGGCCTTGTTAGGCGACGTCGACTTTGATTCTTTGGGTTATCACTCCAGTTGACTCCGGTATTGCAAATTTCCGTGTCTATTTGAAGCTTCTTCAGACATGTAGTAAGCGACTCGACTGCTGGGTTAGAACAGGCGCTTAAGCGATTCTGGAGCTGAAAAGTGGAAAGGTCACAAAGAATAGAGTTGTCGGATTTGAAGCTGTCATGAGAGGGGGGATCATCTTCGTTGGAGCTCGTATCACTGAGGATCTCGACTCTCGAGGGAATAACGGCCATCTCGATTGGACGCGATTGGCCAATAATAGATAAGTACCAAAAGTGAGGCAGTTGAGGGTGCACGGCTCAGGGGTCCAAGCAAGGGGTTTAATGAGACTTATTATTTGGTTCCGGGCCTGCGACCGAAAGCACGGTATCGCCGATGAGCAAAGTGTTGGCGGGGGAGTTAATGTCACATGTATCCCTTGTAGATTAGCAAAAGCTACGGTTACCTTTCTTTCCAATTGGGTAATGTGGGCGAATTAGATTGTCATGCTGTCTGGAGAATGATTGATGTTGTATGTAGAAGAGACGAATCCCATCATTAGGATTTTGAACTGTAACATCTTGCTGGTTGATACCTAAGACACAGCAGCAGCACTACCTAACGCACTTGCCCTCTGGTATAACTTACATAGGTAAGGTTAGGTATGAGGTAAGTCATTCAATTTCTACGGGAAGCTTCGTCACTCAATAGTTTAACATGAGCTAACTAGTGCTATTGACTTTCATCAACGTGTAACTACCTACGTCAGACACTTTTTTCTAGAATAGCGGCTTACTAAGAGACGCGATCTGATGCGGATCTGCACGCGAACTTTCCCCCACTTCCCTCCGTGGGGATTCCCTGCAGGAGCTTGCATTGCAGACTACCTAATGTACATACTGCACCGGAGCTATAGCCGTTTAAACATTCCCAACTAAACCCAACTCCTGCAACTGTTGGCCCTATAAAAACAGACCACATAGAATGCGGGATATATGTAAGTGCTCCAGTTAGAGACGATTAAATGACTACGCCGGATACCTAATAGGAAGTTCTATATGAATAGCATAGTCGGTGTGCTTGTTCCTGACGGCATCTTAGGTGTCTGAAAATGTATACCTATATTGTCTAGCAGGGTGAATTAATCATTAATCTATTTGGCTGTTTAACCTTATGAGATTGATGATGAGTTGTGTTCGTTCTCCATGATCGCTTCTGTCTGGGCTTGCAGCGCCGGTGCATGTTCCGTCGGTATTCGCACTAGAGTCTGCGGTAGAGGTAAAGTATCGTCCTGAGCTTTGGATGTAGTTTCCTCTGCGTTTCGTGGACTCGGGATTTTGGCTATGAGATTGGTCAATAAGACGAAATTTTGTATGTTGCCTCATATGCGGATGTAAGAATACCTGACGCCATGTTGATAGCTCGTAGAACATTATGCCAGTTTCCTAACACCATCGCAATCGCTGTCACGCCTAGTTAGCCAGCTATAAGGGCAAGGCGTCTATCTGAGTGTGCGCACCTTCTGTTCCATCCGATAGGGTAGCAAGTTTTTGTTCGAGAGCTTCCATCTGATTTGCTACAGCTGCGCTAAGTTCCCGCAGCTCCTTTAAATTCTCAAGCTCCGCCTTCTTCTCATTGACTCGGGCGAGAAGTGCGCTTGACTGCCCTGCAGACTGAGCACTGGGATTGCTTGATGTAGAGGCTTGGCGTATATGGCCAGGCAACGTGCGCGAAGAAAACGCCATCGTAATAAAGCTTCGCAGTCTCTTGATTTCTAAGGTTAGGTTAGGTTAGGCAGGTAGCTTTACTGTGTAGAATGCTTAGTTGCGACTTGCACATTCGCATGTGTAAATGGCAAGTATTATCGATAAGTGGATAAGTGGATAAGTGGCAGATTGGGTACATATGCCTTAGTGTGTGACGTGAATATGTGGGTGCTACCATAGGCGACCCCTGTATAAAATTGCTGGTCATAATTGTGCGTTGCTATACCCCATTCGGAAGTTTGTTGACATGCACTGTGGAGCCAGCTACCTTGCCAACTACCTTGCCAACTCATTTCCTCGACCAAAACTTTGATTTTCTTTCACCGCACCTCAAACAGCAACTATCGTCTTGCATACTGTTGCTTCCGACAACTCTTGCCCTATTTGCTACCAAAAAGACCCTCCTGCATGGTTACTAGACTTTCTAGACTCGTGCTATAAAACTTCAATCATCTCGAATTCCTTCCGCCTCATGTCTTTACAATGGCACGACTCAACGAGCCAATGGTGTCAACAGACAGCGTAGAAACGCGTATGTCCCTAGCTACACTTTGCACGTCGCTGATGATACCAACTAATACCTTCTGTCATAGTACGCAGAAAGTTCTTGCGACAAAATAGAGATATCGCCCGAGTAAATTCAACTCAATCCCTCAAAATACGTACTTTAGAGAATGAATGTGTTCGCCTATTATCCGAAAACCTTGATCTTCGAGGACAAATATTGCGACTTCAAACAGAATTAGAAGATAGTAGAGCGCAAAAGATTGCCCATCATGCCCTTGAGATCAAGGAGAAGATGGAGGCCCAACTCGCAGAATGGGGAACTATGCTTGCGAGTTTGGGGCACGAGCCCACCCCGAGAAGTCGATCACCAAGAGGGCCGAAGAGAGTAAAGCGCAGGTCAAGCATTGGGCGTGGCAGCATGTCTGAATGGAGGAGAAGAGATACTGTAAGCTCGATGAAAGACCTGGAGGCTGCCGCCCTTCAAGAAGGCAGGTTGGCGCCGATCTGGGAAAATAAAATGTGTCCTCGCGAAACACTAAAGTGAGTTATACCTATGAGGTTTCTGTAAGCAATGCATACTAATTTTGTAGCCGAGAGGAAATCCTCGCATTACGCGCCATCGTTGATGATAATGACGATTCCCCAGATCTTGGACCCCCGCCAGTATCACGCTTTGTCGACGAAGATCCCGTGAAGATTGATTTACCCCCAAGACATAGTCCTCCCAAGTCAGATTACGCGTCTCTAGAGAAGGCATCGTCTGATCCCCAGCCTAAACAACAATCAACACCCTCCCCCAAGAAAGATGAAAGAGCAAACGAACCAGTCAACAATACTCCTGAAGTTAATAATGAGACGATGGAGCCGAAAGCGATTGACACAACGGAATCCCAGCCTACTATTCAAGTTGGTAAGGCCAACTTGAAGAGAAAACTGAGAGAAGAGGATGAGAAGGAGAATCCGGTGATATCTAAGCCGACTCGAGCTATTGAGGTTGCAAAGGATCAACCAGAGAAGGTGGCGAACGTCAAACCCCAGTCCATCAACAGGCCGATCAAGCTTCCATCAAACCGGAGAGAGGTTCGAGATAAGCCATCTAGCTCGGTAACTCAGAGAAGGCCATTAGGTGCCAAAAGCACGAACGAACATATTAAGTCGCCAAAAAAGGCTACGAAGCCTCCGAGTTTAGACGAGGTCACAAAGGAAGATATTAAGGGAAGGAAGACAATTCCAGTTGAGATACCGGTCCCCCAACCTCAGCCGATATTTGTTGCGCACGTGGAAATCGAGACTGAGACACTTTCTTCGGAGCCCAACTTGGCCGTACCTGATACTCCGGAAGCAACCCCGAGAGAGGAAGTAAGGGATACGCCCCCTCCTACTGATATTTCCTCAAGAGGGGAGACATCACGAGGCAGCCGTAGAGCTAGGACGGCAGTTAGTTATGCTGAGCCAAATCTTCGGGATAAGATGCGGCGGCCTACGAAGCAGCTACTTGACGCCGTGTCAGGCGAAGGCAAACACATACGAAGAACTAGCCAGTCGAAGAAGGAAGAGTTTCCCTCGTCGAACCCTTCATCAGTAGTCAAATCAGAGGAGAATCTAGGATCATGGAAGGATCTACCTGCTGATCGCAGCATGTCAAGAACGAACCTAGATGTTATGGCTAGTCCCCTAGCACGGAAAGGCTCGAAAGCGTCTTCGGACGACTTGACCATGAGTGGTGTAGGAATGGATAGGAAAAAGCGGACCGATACTGAGTCTTCGTCTTATTCTAGCGGCGAAAGCAATACAACCAAGTCGGGCTCCCGAGCAGCTGGTCGCCGCGTAGACGAGATCGCAGCTCGGGAGGCTGAAGTGGCGAAAATATTTGACGATGAGGCCGACGTTTACGATTTCCCTAGCTCGTCACCGAAAGACGGTTCAAAGCGTACGGCAACAACGGAGGAGACTTCCAAGAGGAGAAATACCAAAGGATCTCGACAATCGAGGTCAAGGCGACTATCATCAGTGGCTCGTGAAGACTTGGAACTAGATGCAGAGAGCCAGAATCATGAGAAGGCACCGAGGCACGCGGGATCCAGACGAGCGACCATGGCAGCGTCGAAAGAGTCGAAGATGGATATAGAAAATGCAGGACATGATACCTCCATGGAAGGAGACAGCTTGAATAGCTCCTCTTCCGGAGATGTGGACGCTTCCGTACGGGATAGGGCCTCAATAAGGCGGAGAAGTATGATGTTATGAGAAAAATAAGCCCTGCTGCACTATGATGATGATGATTCGTACGGTCGTTTGAGCGAAGTTTTCTGCTTAGGGGGTTTAAATATCGATTAAGTAATCACAATTGAAGCGAGCATTGAGACTTTCTTCATCTCATTTTTTTTCATGGCGTTTGGAGTGAAGACAGACAGACGAGACTCAGTGTACTCAGGATACCAATCAAGTATTTTTTTTTCTCGATTCATTCCCAATGGTTGATTGTGATTATGTCATTTATCGAGGCTAGTAGAGTGGCCTGCTATTAGTTTCATCGTGAGAATACATCTTTGATGCTTTGGGGTATTCGTTGATCTAGACATCCATGCATTCCTTTTAAAAGATTACGACGACCCGCCTGTCGTAGGCTCTACTGGTTTTGTGTATGTTACTTTCTCCACTGCGACGTTTTCCACCCCGTTTTCATCTTTGCGGAGCTGGTAGACGTAGAGGGTGAGTGATATACCTTGGACCTGTATTTGATTGTTAGTAGCTGGTCTTGCTGCCCCTGTGTTGTGTCGAGGACCCGGTGTAACTCACATCCATCAAGCAGAAACTAGGCACCATATCCTCGCCCTCCTTCGTCCACCCCGTCGTAAACGCCCCCGTAGCACTGCCTGGGTTTACGAAGAACTTGTCCATATACTCGAAGGCGTCGAAGCGGTGGGTTCCGCCCCAACACAGCACATCCACGTCTAACTTGTTGGCCTCGGCGAGTAGCAAGTCTGGCTCGGTCGACACCAGTGTGAATCCTTCGATGAAACCGATGCGTAGCGACCCGTGCGTTACAACTTGATACAGCGGCAGTGACGTCGCTTCCACGTCGAAGCGACCCTTTACGATTTTCAGATCCGGCGCAATTGAACGTAGGTACTCGTACGTGTGCTTGTCCGTCAGGTTGCCTAGACATAGCGTCTGTCCGATCTTTCCTGGCGAAAGGAGTTTCTTAAACTACGAGGTTGTGACAGTTAGCAGCGGTGCTCGGGGTGGGGGATGGGAGAGGGTGAGTGCTGGCCGTCCGTCGCACCTTTTGCGGTATGTCGAGAGCGCGGTCGGGGATGTGGAGGTCCCCGATCACCAGGATGAGGAAGGCCATTGGTTATAAATTGACGGAGACCTAGAATCTCCCAGGTATACCGAGACTATTTGCTCTACGACCGATTCGAAGGAGGAATTTCGGACAGCTTAATCGTACAATGGGAGTGTATGCGTATGCGCAGGCAACACCGCTACTGGTTCGAAGTAGTGCGGTTTAAGGACGGCTAGGTCGGGATGTTCGCTAGAATTTCGTATATATCTCTTTTAATACCGGGGACTTGAGGAGAGTTACAATAACTGCGTGCCCACATGTCAACGAGATATACGTAATTAGGTCGTGAAGCTATCCTCAAACCTGCGAGGCTGACGTTGAACTCTCAGGGTTGGGAGCTTTGCAGGCCCCGCAATTCAAGCTATTGGTACGTACCCCAGATTAAGATTAGAAGTTACCTCATGTAGGTACGAAGTACAATGGTACAATACAGTATCTTAGCGCTCGCACTGCTACAAGGAGCCTTACCTAGGTACCTACCTAAGCTTAATAAGATGCGATCAACTTCGGACGTAATTGCCGTTGCTCTCTTACGTTCTATCTAAGTCGGGTCACTAAAATGCGGCCGAAGACGGAGGTTACGTACTTCTTAAAACACCGAATTTGAAGCAGCTATCCAGCCTACTTCACGTCGGGAAATAGCCGTGGCTTACTATATGCGATAAGACCTCCCAAACGGACATAGATCATACAGAGCAGTGGGGGAGATATAACCTCTACGAATTAGGCGATTAGCAAATAAAATTCTATAACTGCTTACAAGATACAAGATTCCCCGACGCTTCTTCTCTTAATATTTCATAGCTTCTGTCTATCCGTAAATTAAATTTGCAATGCAATAACAGTACATTTCTTTCTGCGAATCGTGGAGCTCAAGTGGATATAGGAATTGATAGGCATACACATATGCATACACATATAAAGTTCCAAGACAAGATATACACGAGTCAAGCTCTACTAAAACCGGCCTACATTACAGTACCTAAGGTAGGTTTCATTATAGGGGACGAAAACTGGCTTACTCAGTAACAATACGGAAGGCCGCCGGAGCGGTTGTCAGCAACATGCCCCACCGTCTACTGAAGATAGCAACTTTCACTGCTTCTAACCCCGCAGCTCGCGTCTCGATTATATCACGACACTTATTAGGAGCTGCTCGATCCCCTTCGAATCCCAGTTTCCCAAGTAATATTTCTCCTCCAGCTCAGAGCCGTAGCTTTTCTTCGTCATCTGCCAAAATGTCATCTCAACCCGAACACGCTACTCTACTCATCCCCGGTCCCATTGAGTTCGACGATGCCGTATTACAGTCCATGAGCCATTACAGGTTTGTACCAAATAGCCAGGCGCGCGCTCTTATAGCAAGACACTTTCTCTAACATAGAAATACTAGCGAGTCGCATGTCGGTCCAGGTTTCGTTGCTACGTTTGGCGAGGCATTGTCGATGCTGCGCAAGCTCTTCCAGACCACCGACCCATCTTCACAACCTTTTGTCATCTCGGGATCCGGCACGCTTGGTTGGGATCTAGTAGCAGCAAATCTTGTCGAACCCGGCGGAGATGTCCTAGTTCTCAGCTCCGGTTACTTCAGCGATGGTTTCGCCGACTGTCTTACAGTCTACGGCGCAAAAGTCGATCTTCTAAAAGCCCCCGTTGGCAGTCGGCCGCAATTGCCCGAAATCGAGCAAGCATTGAAGAGCAAGAAGTACAAGGTTGTCACAGTAACACATGTCGACACATCGACAGGTGTACTGAGCGAACTGCAGAAGCTTTCCGAGACGGTTCAGAGAGTGTCACCTGACACGTTACTTATCGTGGATGGCGTGTGCAGTGTAGCTAGCGAAGAGATTGATTTCGATGCGTGGAAGCTAGACGGCGTAATAACAGCAAGCCAAAAGGCTATCGGCTGCCCCGCGGGCTTGTCCATATCGATGTTCAGCGGCAAGGCGATCGACGCCTTCAAGGCGAGAAAGAGCCCACCGGCATCATACTTTGCTTCGATGAAGAACTGGACACCTAGTAAGACACAGGTCCCAATATCCCAGATGGTAACAATAGCCGGTGCTAATCCGTTGTGTACTTAGTTATGCAAAACTACGAAGCAAAGAAGCCTTCGTACTTTGCAACCCCATCGCCGCAACTTATCCACGCCCTACACACAGCACTAACCCAGATACTCACCAAGCCCCTCGCCGAAAGGTTTGCTAGGCACCGAGAGGTATCCGACAAGATCAAGAATACCGTGGCAGAGCTGGGTTTGAAACAAGTCGCGGCCAACCCGGAAGACCAGGCCCACGGTATGACGGCCATCTACCTACCCGAAAGTGTTAAGGCCACCGATCTACTCCCAAAGCTTGCCAAGAGTGGCGTTGTCTTCGCCGGTGGTATCCATAAGGAAATTGCCGCCAAATATGTACGCTTCGGACACATGGGTGTTAGTGTGGTACGTTTACGATTTCTCTAGTAGCGATCGAAGGTTATGAAAGCTAATCGTAAATAGACCGATCCTGCGAGAACAGATATTGATAAGGCGATAACTGCGCTGAAGAGTGGGCTTGCTGACTGCGGGTATCAAAAAGCATAAAACTCCACATACGCCGTTCGGGACCGTCTAGGAGGTTCGAATCCGGTGCGCCAAGGTAACCCGTATTTCCCATGATAATCATTTTCGGAGAAAATGTTGGTCGGTTAGAGAACGGATATTGTATCGTATGCTCCAATTTAGGCCGCATGATTAAAAAAAGAAAAAGGACACGGTGTAACTATTTCATGAAGAAAGGGACAGACTAGAGGTGCCACTGCGCGGGGAATGGCAAGAAAAAAAAAGGTCGGTTTAAGGAAGCATCGGAGATGGGCTTTGCTCTATTCGATTAAATTGCATGATTTTTCTTCGGCCACGTCACATCCGTCTGCCTTATTCTCCGTCTTTCTCGCCTGGTCGTATAGGAGAAGCTGGAGCCTGTCATTTATCATCGGGAACTTACGTCAAGTTGCTGCAACATCAGCAGCGAAGTAGAGAGCCCGAAGAGTCTAGTTTCCACCATATGCTGCTTTACGATATTAACCAACAAAAGCGGCTATGTTGCAAAGCTTATATTATTCTCACCTAGAAGTAGTCGTCTCCCTTTATCTAGAAAAAAGAAGATGGTGGCCGTGTTTACAGTAAATTAGAAAGGGTTGACAATGGTAATAAAAACCCCGGAGGCTCGGGAGTAGTCTTTAAAGCCCGGTACCGTTATCCCGGAACAATGGGTCCCGGTACGTAATATTAGGTACATTATTACCAGGTACGCTATTACCAAGCCCATATAATAAGCAATTATCAGCATTTCTTGAGCAACCCGAAAAACGACGTGTACGTTAGCAACGCTTTAGTTACGCGCAGCAGCTAATAAATACGGGACGTTATCAATAAGGGTGGAGTGTCAGAGTGTGCACGGCAACAAAATATTTTTCAGATCTGAAGCAGCGGTGAGCTTTGCAAGTAACATCCATTTCAATTCCCCTCCAAAGCCAAGCCGGTCGTCATTCTAGAATTGAACAAGCCTGCGAAACTGTCGGCATCCTATCTCGAGATACATATTTTGCGTTTGCGTTAGTACGCAGGTTCTATGCGCTACTTATAACAACAACAACGACAACAACACGAGATCCTATCATAACCGGATTTAAATTTTACCTTTACGAAGTACAGGTCGACGTCACAATCTGTCTCTTATTTGTCCTCATCCTGCAGCAAAGCAAGACTTGGCCTAACCTCGGGACACGATAGGTTAGGTACCTAACCTACTAAAGTTTAATCGTTAAAATTGGAGGGGTAAGTCATTCTGGGTTGGTTGGCAGGTGTGGTTATTTCGGAAGCCTTGCGTTCACGGACCAATGACATAATTGGAATCGTTGATATCTAATTGGCTTCTGCAGAGTTCAGTTAACACTGCTAACAGCAAGTTTCAGCCGCTACTGCCCCTCGGGTACTTGGCAGCCTTTACAAATTCACGTGTGAGTAGAAGTACAGGGTCACAAATAGTGGGCGCGTAAGGTCTACATGCTTACATGTACCTAATGCTCACCTAGGAGCCTTGCTGCTACAGCCTATAGGTACGTACATTTCCTAGCTATGTATTGTACCTCCTATGAGCCAAGCTTCCCTAAACCCCCCCAAACCCCACCACCAGAACTGTACGCAGCTGCCGCTATCATCTCAGAGACCCGTCACTTTTGGTGCCTCTTCGAATTCTACTGATACCTTTTTTTACAACTCATCTGACAGTTGTTCCTCCCTACTCCTCTCTACCTACCAACTTTTTCTCTACCACTGATACCTTTTTCAACCAGTTCTCATCCACAACCCGTGCACGTCGTCATTAAAACCCTCAACGTCATCATCAACTGTCTTTATTCCGACACACAGTTGAAGCGAGGCGCGCAGCCTACCTCGTCTTTCCCCCGCCACCTCATTCGAGATGGCGCCCACGATCCCAGAGCTGGACCTCATGGTCCAGTCCTTCTACGAAGGTCGCGGTGAACAGGTTAGCTTATCCTTTTAATATTTCATTGATTTCTCAAGTAAACATATATATCCTCGAAGCTAAGCTACTAACACTTGCGTTTTCCCCACCTTCAGCAAAAAGCTGCCCAAACCGCGTTAAACCAGGTACGTGATGCGCCATACGCCTTGCACACTTGTGCCAAAACTAATATACATAATTTATAGTTCAAGGAAGATCCCGATGCATGGCTACTCGTCGATAAGCTCCTCGCTGAGTCGAGGCACCCGCAGACAAAGTGTACGCCGCACTAGTCCCGCGATATGGGAGGTATTGGCACAGGGCTGACGGGTTGCAGATCTTGGACTTCAGATATTGGACAGCGTTATCATGACCAGATGGAAGGTTTTACCCCGAGAACAATGTCTAGGTTTGTCGCCTTATCTCGCTAGTAGTACCGGTATAGATCTCCCTAGCTAACCCGCGCCGCAGGAATTCGCAACTTTGTCGTGAACTTTATCCTCCAGGCATCCAGTACGGAAGAGTCGCTCAGGACTCAGCGCACTCTCTTGAATAAGCTGAATTTAGTTCTCGTCTCTATTCTAAAGCAAGAATGGCCCCACAACTGGCCGACCTTCATCAACGAGATCATCTCATCCTGCCGATCGAACCTATCCATCTGCGAGAACAACATGATCATTCTCCGCCTTCTCTCTGAAGAGGTTTTCGACTACTCAGCCGAACAGATGACTTCGGCTAAGACTAGAAACCTGAAAACTACCATGTGCAACGAGTTTTCACAAATCTTCCAGTTATGCCAGGAGATTCTTACTTCAGCGAATCAGGCAAGCTTAGTGAAGGCTACGTTAGAGACACTGCTACGTTTTTGCAACTGGATTCCCCTAGGATACATTTTCGAGACGCCACTTATCGAGACATTACGCACGCGATTCCTCGAAGTTGCCGAATTCCGTAACGTCACTTTGCAAGTGCTTACTGAGATTGGCGGGCTGGTGACTGGTGGACCGGGACAGCCAAACGCGTATAGCGAACAACTAGTCAAGATGTTTGTCGATGTTCTCACGACTATTGCTACCATCGTTCCCTTGGATCTCGACCTAAAGAGCACATACCCTCAGAGTAATTCCAAGGACCAGGAGTTTCTCCAAGAATTGGCACTCTTCCTGTGCAACTTCTTCGGCCAGCATGTTGATGTAGGTTTATTTCTGGATTAATTCTAATATTCGCTAACTTTACGATTAGCTTGTTGAGAATCTCCCTAACCGAGACTTCCTCACGCATGGTCACTTCTATCTTATTCGCATCTCACAAATCGAGGACCGCGAGATCTTTAAGATTTGTCTAGATTACTGGCTCAAACTAGTACAGGAGCTATACGAGGAAATGCAAGCCGCACCCCTCCAGGAGGCCAACCCCCTTATGATGGGAAGCAGCTCCGCTACCGGCGCTGTAAATCCGAGCATCTTGTTAAATTTCCCCTTGAGAATGCACAAGTATAAGGAGGTTCTGTCAAATCTCCGAGTGGTTATGATTGAAAAGATGGTCCGACCCGAAGAAGTTCTTATCGTCGAAAACGACGAAGGTGAAATCGTCCGCGAGTTTGTCAAGGAAAGCGATACGGTGCAGCTCTACAAGACCATTCGGGAATGTCTCGTCTACTTGACTCATCTTGACGTTGTGGATACGGAAACAATTATGACCGAAAAGCTACAGAAACAGGTTGACGGCACTGAGTGGTCATGGCACAACTGCAATGTTTTATGCTGGGCTATCGGATCAATTTCGCTCGCGATGAACGAAGAGACCGAGAAGCGATTCCTCGTCACGGTTATCAAGGACCTCCTCGGGCTGACAGAAATGAAGCGCGGCAAAGATAACAAGGCTGTCGTAGCCAGTAATATCATGTACATTGTTGGGCAATACCCTCGCTTCTTAAAGGCCCATTGGAAATTCCTTAAGACGGTTGTCAATAAGCTTTTCGAATTCATGCACGAGTCGCACGAAGGTTTGTTACCCAATTTCGATACTCTGGAGCAGCAGCAGCTAATTATGTTTCAGGTGTACAAGATATGGCATGCGATACGTTCATTAAGATCGCAAGACAGTGCCGTCGACACTTCGTTGCCTTGCAGCCCAGTGAGAATGAACCGTTCATCGAGGAGATTATCCGAAACCTGCAGCGTATTACATGTGATCTAACGCCCCAGCAAGTTCACACATTCTACGAGGCTTGCGGATATATGGTCGCGGCTCAGGGCAACAAGCACCAGCAGGAACGATTGCTTGCAGAGCTCATGAACGCACCTAACGCAGCCTGGGACGAGATCATTAGAGCAGCTACTCAGGACCCTCAGATTTTGCAGGATTCGGACACAATTAAAATCATCGGGAACATCATGAAGACTAATGTGTCGGCTTGCTCTTCTATTGGGCCTTACTTCGGTCCGCAGATTGGTAGAATATACCTAGACATGCTACAAATGTACCGTGCCACTAGCCAGCTAATTTCAGAGGCTGTTGCCCGTGATGGTAATTTTGCAATGCCCATCCTCTCTTAGTGATATGCACTAACCTCCAAAACAGGTGAAATTGCTCCTCGCATGCCGAAGGTCCGAGGATTGAGAACCATCAAGAAGGAAATCTTGAAGTTAATTGAGAGCTACGTTGACAAGGCAGAGGATCTTCCTGCTATTCGTCAGCAGATGGTACCGCAGCTTCTTGACTCCGTATTAGTAGATTACAACCGCAACGTCCCGGGAGCCCGAGATGCGGAGGTCCTAAAAGCGATGTCTACTATCATTACAAGACTTACAGTAAGAAGGCCTAGACAGATTACCAGTTATGAGATGTTGCTAACCGTATAATAGGGTCTTATGGAAGATCAAGTGCCAATTATCATGCAAAACGTTTTCGAGTGCACTCTTGAAATGATCAACAAGGACTTCTCAGAGTTCCCTGAGCACCGAGTAGAATTCTTCAACTTGCTCAGAGCTATTAACCTACACTGCTTCCCTGCTCTCCTGAAGCTGGATAATCGACAGTTCAAGTTTGTCATCGACGCTTGCATGTGGGCCAGCAAGCACGATAATCGTGACGTTGAAAGCGCAGGACTTAACATGTGCCTAGAGCTTGTCACGAATATCGCGGATAAGACCGATGTGCAAACAGCCAACGCCTTCTTCCAACAGTTCTTCATTGGTATCCTGCAGGATGTATTCTTTGTCTTGACAGATCCTGACCATAAGGCTGGGTTCAAGACGCAGTCTTTGCTGCTAATGCGCATGTTCTACTTCGTACTCCCGGCAGACGGTTCTACGCCAAAGATCCAGGGGCCTGTTTACACAGACCAGGCACCAGCCGGCACAAGCAATAAGGATTTCCTCACCGAATTTGTTGGCGGTCTTCTACGCAATGCATTCCCCAATCTGCAAATGTAAGTTGTCACCTTGTAACGTAACATAAATATCACATGAGCTAACTAGGTCTCCAGTGCACAAATCAGTGCATTTATTGAGTGTCTCTACACCCTGAACGCATCGTACGAGAAGTTCCGTCTTCAAGTCCGAGACTTCCTCATCTCCCTAAAGGAGTTTGCTGGTGACAATGCAGACCTCTTCGTGGTTGAGAAGGAGCAAGAGGCTCGCGAGAAACTGACAGCCGACCACGAGCGACGAGCCAAGGTCGGCGGCTTATTAAAACCGTCAGAGATCGAAGCGGAGGACGACGAGCTATGACTACGCCAGGAGTTCAGAAATGAATTTGCTCCTCGCCATGATTCGAGCATAGTTGATATCCCCGGACGGACCTCGATCGACCATTTTGATGGATGGGACGTCTATGGGCTTTGAGAGCCTGGCGGCGACCCTCGAATAAGATGAAGGGGCCTTTACTTTATAACTTTTCGCCACGTCTCTTCTAGTGCCTCTTCTCTATTCTCTTGTACGTGATACCATGATAGAACTGCCGTGGTTGGTAACTGCAACTGCTGTTTGACGACCACATGGTTGCGCAGTCAGACGAGGTTAGTAGCCCAGTTGCACTCCCACACTCGGGCATAGGAAAACGATGAAGGCATAATTGCCAGGGGATAAAGGAAAAACAATGGTGATTCCCTCCGTGGTTAACTTGGCGGAAGGTGAACACAGAAAAAAAGGAGCGATGGTAGGGAGGAACGAATGCATATAATTTTGGTTTTACCAATGACGTGACCAGGTCAGAGAGATTATGCGGTCATTGCTGCTAGGAAAAGGGGCGGTCTAGTCGTTATGCTGCTGAGATGAGAGGCTTAAGGAGAGGAAAGGGGGATAGACCACTGTCCTGTTTATATCCCCGGACGCGATCTCTTCTCGTTGTTACCTTAGGTAGATAATCATTGCTGAATGGATGGCATTAGTCCCCAGACGAACGTTACTTCGGAAATGCGAATTTTATTACTTTTTTCAAGGTGTTATAGTATGACTTGGTGCTGCGTCAACATGATGTTTTTTATCTTTTATCTTTAGGGGTGGCCGGGTAGGAATTATTGTGCAAGTAATGCTCATTGCCTTGTATAATGTGTAGTTCTTGGATAGAGCCGGGGTTGCATATCTAAATGAATGTATGTATTCTCTGGCGAGATATGTAACAGTCTGTCTAGAGCTAATAGAAAAGTAATAGCGAGCGTCTTAAGAACTCATGCTTATTGGCGTAGCAGGTACCCATTACTCCAGGGTATCATCCGTCTGGCTTCCACGGGTCTACTACATAACCAACAGACCAGGCGGAAAGCTTCCTATCCAGTGGGCTAGCGGGGGCTACGCCAATTAGTTTAGCGGGAAACAAAACTTGAGCTCGTCTATTCATTCATCCATACGTCTGGATCGAAATCACCGGTTGGTTTTGGTCTGTCTAATAGAAGTCCCGCGGGAAGCGCGATAGGCGCCGTGTGGCCCGAAGAAGCGATGGAGCGTAGCATGGAAGAGAGAGAGAGAGCTAAGGGGGAGAGAGAGCCGTAGGGCCATACGGATGAGGCGGTGGTGGTTAGGATTTAAGGAGTCCCTAAGAGAGGAAGATGGAAGATTCCCGAGGTTAACCAATCTCCCACGCACGTTCAACTGTGGCGGTTTCGAGACTTGCAGTACGTGGGCTTTCTGGGTTATAACCCGTCTTATTGCATCTGGTAGGAGAATCAGGTAGGTAGGTAAGTCTACCCAGATGGTATATACACCAGTATATACATCATCGCCATCCATCTACTCACTCCTCTTTGCTTTTTTTCTCGCCTCCCCGTCCGTCCCCCTCCCAGCCCCGGGCGTGAGAGTAGAAAAGTCTGGTCTGCTCGACAGACCCCAAAGGGTGCCTTCGCGAGCGAGCATGTGTTTCTCCATCTCATCTCATCTCATCCCGTCTGCCCCCCCGCGGCGCTGCCGAACTAGTAAGCTGGCTAGCTGGCGAAGCTGGGCATCTATCGACGATGTAATGTAATGTAAGGTAAGGTAATGTAATATCAGGCCGGGTAAGGTTGAAAGATGGACAGACAGATGGACGGACGGACGGACAGAGGCGAAGAGCAATGGGACCACGACGTAAGACCACGTATTTGACTTGGAGTCTCCCCCCCCCCCCAGTCGTATCCATCGCCGCGTATCGTATATATACGTGTCCGCGCGAAACACCCTGTCCGTCTGTATGGATGTGTATATGTATGTATGGATGGATGTCAGTCCCGTCGGGCAGCTCGCGCGAAAAAAGAAAAAAAGAGAATTATAGGCTACTTACTCGCCTACTTTCCGCCAACACATTAGTCCCCATTCCATTCTCCAATTCCCATTCCCATTTCCATTCCCGTTCCGCCTCTCCTTCCGCGAGCGCCGAGGATAACTCAACTCGACCTAACCTAACCTAACCTAACCTAACCTTAGGTGCTAACTTAGGTTATTTAGATAGACGATCATCCACTAACCAACCCATAGGTCCAAAGAAGCAAAAAAGAAAAAGCATACGGGACAGCCGCAGCCGCCGTCCGTCCCTATTGGTTCCCTGTAAATACCTAGGTTGACCTAGTCGACGCTTAACAGCGAACGGCTATTGCATATATCTGCCATGTATATTTGCAGGTAGCTACCTAACCTAGGTAAGTAAGGTATGTGTAGGTATATTGAACTATTGATTCGACCCGACTAACTAACTAACTAACTAACTAACTACCTAATTAACTAATTAACTAACTAACTAACCTAGCTTCTACACATAAACATACATCGGCGCCGCACCGGCGAGGGGAGCAAATAGCCAGCGCGCGCCTTACGTATTCCCGCCCGATTCCGGCACGCGAATAAGGCGGGGGAAGGGAAGGGAAGGAAAGGGGGAGGAGGTCTTTGGGAGGGTCGTTGAGAGAAATGTGTGATTGAATAAGGTATGTAGTTACTCTGTTAGATATGTAACTTGGACTATTCGCTTAGAATAATATAGTTAATACGAAGATGTCATCGCGTAGTACTCAAGACTTTAAATCCTCGTGTCGTGTGCATATCTCTCCAGGTTAACCTAGTAAATTCCCACATCCAGTCTAGCATGTATATGTATATCACGCCCTTTATGCGGGGGAAGAGCCGTGTCCCGGCCGTCCAAGGTCTACTCCACCCGAATTGGACCCTTATCATCAGGCCCAGCCAGCGAACCTATAATATTACACTCGCGATATCTCCTACTGTTCGTCACGGCTAGACTAGACACGTTTAATGCTAAGCATAAGCCATACCTGGGAATTATTGAACCCACCGATCTAGCTACCCAAGGCACTTGGAAGAAGAAGAAGAAGATCATATTCCATACAGACGTCAATCAAGACATCATGGCCCCCTCAGCTATCACCGAGACCCTCTCAAGCACCTTGACCCTCAAGGGTGGAGATAAGCCAACAGAGGCAATCAAGCATGACGCCACCGAAGGCAGGGAGAAGACTCCTTTAGAGGCCATCTCGCACGGCATGGTGATGCCGGGCATTCCCACATTCCCAACTTACACAGCGCACAGGAGGCACATCCTTGTGCACATGTCCGCCACGTTCCGCTTCTTCGCGCGATGCGGCTTCACCGAAGGGCAGTCGGGGTAAGTTTGGCTATCATAACCATAACCATAACCCTTCCCTTGTCATATTCGAACCCGCAGTTCTTTTTTCTTCTTCCAGGGATGAGCTCGAGTCCTCTCCACTTGGGCTCTGTCGTGACAGCCCAATCTCCAAAATCCCTTTCCCCTCGCATAGCTAGCTAGGTAGCTAAGCTGATCCCATGGCTCTAGGCACATCTCGGTGCGAGACCCAGAGTTCAACGGGCTCATGTGGATGAACCCTCTAGGTCGACACTTCGGCATGCTGACGGCAGGTGACATGATATGTCTGGACATCGCGACCGGCAAAGTCGTCGGCGGCAACACCTCCCGGCCCGCCAACGCCGCAGGTTACCTGATCCACTCCGCCGTCCACAAACGGCGTCCGAACGACATCCACGCCATGTAAGTGCTCTCTCTCGTCCCCCCTTTCCCTCCGCAGGACCACGTGGGTTCCTTTTGCATAGAGAAGAATAAAAGAAAAGTTATGCACGCCTAGACGCAGAAGTGAGGCGTCCTAATCTCTCTCCCCGGCAAGGTGAGATAAGAGGAACACACTAACCAAGATTGAGAACAACAACCCCGGCCGGGAAGAAATCTCATCTCATCTCATATCCCATAAGAGGAAAAAAAGAGAGAGAGAGAGATTTTAAGAGATGGAGCAAAAAATACCACCAAAAATGGACAAGACGAAAAAGAAAAAAAAAAGTGAGGCTAACCAACCTTTGCCCCAAAAAGCTGCCACGCACACTCCAACGCAGGCCGGGCCTGGAGCGTATTCGCTCGTCCCCTGGAAATGCTGAACCAAGGTACGTAGAAACAGGCCACACTCTCCCCTCTATCACAACTCGGATCATCCTATATTTGTTTCAGAATAGAAAATATAAAAGATATGAAAAATAAAAATGCTGGTCTGCCAGAAAAGAAGGGTTAGCTCGCTGAGCGGAGGAACCCTGTCTATCCTATCTATCCCCCTGGTCCCCTGGTCCTCCCCACTCACTCACCGTAGGCCGAATCAGGCCACAATAATATGTCCGCGTGCTAACTCCGCGCCTCCTGAACGCCTGCAGACGTGTGTAATTTCTACGACGCGCACGCCGTGTACGCCCGCTACGGGGGCATCGTGTTCGCGGCCGAAGAAGGGGACCACATCGCCGCGGCGCTAGGCGACCGCAACAGAGGCGTCATCCTCATGAACCACGGCCTACTGACCGTGGGCTCGACCGTCGACGAGGCGGGCTTCATGTTCGGCCTGCTCGATCGCGCCTGCGCCATGCAGCTGCAGGTCGAAGCCGCCGCCGCCAACGGCATCCCCAAGCACGTTATCGGCGACGAGGAAGCCGCCTACAACTTCAAGATGGCGAGCGAGGTCAACGCGCTGTACCGCGAGGCCCAACCCGACATCGAGTACGAACTCGAGGCGGCGGGCGGCGACGACGCCCTGGCCAGGGGCTTTGAGAACCTGCGGGTGGCGCCGTAAAGGCCTTCGGTCTGGAACGCTGCGAGATCGTACGTGAAAAACAGCTGCGACCCGCCGTCGGCGAATAGATGACGCCCATCTGCCGATATGTGCATTGCAGCTGCGAACGGTGATAGGCGCGGACATGAGTTTGTGCTCGTTAACCAAACCATGAAAAGGTAGGGGGGTAGGGGAGGTAAGGGGGGATAATACATACATACATAAATTGAACAAGGTCGGCTAAGGGCAAGTATGTATCCATTCGACCCTTGACGCGTTACCTACGGCGCTTCGTGGGGGTGGGAAAAAGGACCATGGTATGTAACCCTCACGAGACTAGGTGCAGAACGCAGGATCCTACATAGCACGTACATATGTAATATACCTACCTACCCCTACCTCCCTACATACATGAACGTATACATGTGAACAAAAAAAAACCGAAACTTGGAATCGAACCCCATGGTATGATCGGGACGGGGGGGGAGTGGGAGAAGAAGGACGATATGTGTTAATGCAAGGAAGACGAACAAGAAATAAAACTTGCTTGATTTGCTGTGTACTACGTTGCCGTTGATGGTAGTGAAATAAAATGTAGGCACCGTAAAAGGTCTAGCGCTGGAACGGGGAGATGACGGGAGCATCCCGCAAAATGTCAGCCAGGGACGGCCCGCATTTTACGCAGGTTTTGAACAGGGGAGCAGGGGACCAGGGACCAAGGGAGCAAGGGTATACATATGAGATGAACATAAGCATCAAATCGCCCGATGGAGATCGAAAGGCAAGTCATCGAGGGCCGTGAATCCTGCATCGTACAGGCCAGCCAGTCAGGCGGACCAAACATGTGCTAATTTATGATAGCCTCCTTCCTCTCTGGCCGAGATGAAAAGGATAAAATTCCCGGTTGTATTGTAGATCGAGTCACTTTGGGGGCCATTATTTTAATGCCGACGTCTCACTCATTATGAGATATACCGGGCAACGCGCTCACCGAGTAGTACCTATAGGGCTACCCAGACTTTTGTCCTTTGCGCAACACCTTTTTACACATATTGGAAATGTGACGCCTTTAGATAACGGGCTTGCTTCGGGGATGCAATATATGCAACATGTCTGTTCTCGACCCTCGACTCTCGACCCTCGAATCTGCAATCTTGCCTGCAGTAATGCGATCCCGTAGTAGCAACCAGAGATGCGTCCCTGCAACGAACCATCCGGACGAGATCCGCACCAAGATCGACACAACGACCCTTAACAGTACCCAGCCATAAATCCTTTGCATACCCAGGTAGGTAGCATGTCCAATTTAGAGGCTAACCTCAGTTGTTGTAAAATCTTGTCATTTCGTCTTGAGGTTAAGACAAGGCTTGTGTAGTCACTTCCCCCTTTTAGAAATAAGCACATTATCTGGGCGCCTATCTGATTGTGTGCAGAGATTTCAAGCCCTGGATGTCGTGCCTGACATCTCAACAAGCCTCTCCCGCGTGTTTAGTATGTATGTGTGTACCAATAGTACCAATGGTACCAACGCTCATCTGTCGGTCCTCGGTCGTCCGTATATTGACCGGATGACTAGATACCCACATCTGTAGTAAACAATGGCTTGAGAATAAACATATTATGAAATCGTTGCACGGCAGTGATAAAACAACCTCGGTCGATTCTGCAGCAAGATGCGCTCGGCCTCAGGCAAAGCAAAGCACATGGCTACTACCCAAAGCGAAGCCCCCAACATCCGACGACACAGTCTGAATATGTACACGATAAACCGTTGGCTTCTGTAGTAATACCACCATACCGTTATGCCGAACGAGACAGTGTGGCTGCAGCCATCTCAAGCCATTTCTCATTTAGCGTAGTCCGAAATCGGGGCAGGGTGCGGCTCTAAGTGACTATCCCGACGAGAGACACCTCGTAGATACTGCAAGACTCGGATTTTGGCTGATTAGCCTCCCTGATCTAGGTGTGCGTGTAAACGATCTGGGTTTCGTCAGCATTGCGATGGGGCATCATCATCATATACAGGCTCGGCACTGGGATTCGTAAGGCAATAAAATCTGCGTTCAAAGTTCCGGAGGAGTAAGCCATTTTCCAATTTCGGTGTAATCGACATCAAATATGCCTCGTTCAAAGTCTATACACGCTACAAACCCGCCGAAGAAAAATCGTAGCGAGCGTAGATCGACGGAACCTACTCAATGGATCATTCCGACATGGACTCATATTCAGCTCGAATATCAACGTGCTTAGCGAGGTTAGCCATAAGGCTACTGAGAACCTTCATACGTCAACGAGTACTTAGGTAACAGGGTTCTCGTATGACGGCGTAGACCAGCCATCAATCGAAGTGGAAGGAATTCCAAATATGGATCATCTGTCGTAGAACTGTAATATCCGTTTCTCCCTATGACGACAAGGAGCGATATATTTGTTTGGAAGTGCGTCAGTGACACTGTGAATGCATTCCAAGGAGGAGATAAGCCAAGACGAAAACCCAACCCGTGGAATGGAGCAAACAAGCGGATGGAGCTTCTCGAAATTTCCCAATTGCGTGGGACTTGGATTTTAAGACTCGCTATTCAAGCAAGACTGAGTCATCTTCTGTGGATCTAGCGGAGCTGTAGAGGATCCTCTTCGCTCCCAAAAACCAACTAATACTGATGATGTAAAGTATCGTGGTTCTGGACGGAGCCCAACATGTTTCGTACCATGGCTCCCATCGCCGATACACAATGTATGACGGGCCACATAGGTAACCCGAGCGGAGAATTAATCACGATTTGAGACTGTTTACGTGGAACAACTAGGAACCGCTCCGATTGAATATGCCCTTCTTCCTTTACCTAAGAAAGGCTCTAAAGACTTGTGTATTACCCTCACGGCAACGGCTGTGACTAATGACGATCCTAGAAAGGACTAGACCAGTATTAGGTGACGCCTCATCAGTCGAGTCGGGTGTATAAGAAACACAAGACATGTGCTAATAGTATCGGGACCTTCCGCCATTGGTACGGTTCAGGAACACATGCGACAAGATCGCGGAGTGCCCATCTGGTCTCCTCCAACGTTGTTCCGATGCAGGGAATGAAACAAGTTCCACGCTAGAAGAATCCGTAGAAGGAACACAGGCGAATGAGATGCGCCGACGAGAAACTAGCCCGGCATATATACCTACACTATATGTATTTCAATTGTGTGCCGGACCCCGGGACCCGCATTACTTTTCGAAAGGAAGTTAGGTACCTAAGGTTAGTCAAATGGAGAAAAGCCCGCTGAAACGTGGCATAACAGAAGCCCTAAGAAACGTGCCTTGGATGTGATAGTGCCAAGGTTTAAGGCAGAGAGAATGGAGGATTGAGGACCTGAACCTGTAAGACTAACGATTTGAAAGCCCGGTTTCGGTGGATTCTCCTAGACGTCCGGAAATCTCCATAGGCTGACACGTCAACGACGTGGGTTGGCCCCCTCCGACAGAGGCACTTGCGGCTTCTGGAATCTTGGACTCGGTAGCCCGCGAAGAAACAGTGGGCTTCTTCTTCTGATGCTGCTGCTGCTGTGGGAACGCCCCCCGCAACCTAGCACAAACCAGAAGGCCCCATGGATATGCACATGTCAGGTCGGACGGGTCACGGAAGACAGTGCCGGGACGGGAAGGCAAGGGAAGAAGGAGGAATCAAGATCTCACGAACACATACATCTCAAAATGGTAAGCTGGGTGAGTACGGGATTACGTTTCTCAAGAGCTCCAATTGAAGATGATGGGTTCGGCTGGGTGGAAGACGCTAGTGTATGTAACGCTATGTATGTAGAAACGACGTCGATATCGTAGCATTGAGATAGAAAAAAAGATACATCAGTTCCCAATTTTGGATTGCACGTCTGTGAGAAGAATTGGATGGAATGTTTCCAAGGGTGCCGTGCGTATCACCATTCGCGCTAACGGCACTTGGGATATTGACGTGCCAGGAACATGGTTGGGTAGGCGTTTGGAAATATCCCGAGAAGCCAAGGGTGGTCCTTGCTTTAGCGAGTACCTCACATAAGAGTTGCATACCTCATTAGAAGTATATTAGGTACAATACATTCATGTATCCATACATAGAGGCTTAGCTACTAGGTTAGCCTAAATGGTGAAACTTGAGAAGCGTTTTCCTTCAATATCGCACGGCTTAGGCACTTTGCCAAATGTTAGGTGGAATAGTGCCATAACCAGCGAATGAGAGAGAGAGGTACCACTTCCGGCAAAGTAGCTGGGCAGGTACACGTATGTGAATAGTGGAGCATCAGGCTATTAATTTATGCATGTACCATAGGCAGTATGTAAGAAGAGCACTTCGCCATGACGATGACAAGGACGAGGTAGGTAATGTAGCTTACCTAAACTTACTGTACTTAGGTACGGTAATCATCTACATAGGTTAGGTTATGTAGTTGTTATTATTGGATTTCCCCCCTAACCCTTAACAATAACAATACCAAGAAATACTAACGTTCTGCATCCCGCGCAAGTTTTTCTTTCTTATATTACATTGCATCTTATCTAGGTAGTTGATTGATGTTGGATGATTCTTGTGGGGGTCAGCCCTCTCATCTCGGTACTTCGTCCGTGTGTAAAATTGGCAACGAGGCGGCAAGCTTAATCAAAAGAGAAATACATAGACTACCTAGGGTCCAGAGCTGGAAAAGGTCTGGTCTCTAGATTCGATCGATGCGTTATGTATATATGTACTGTAGTGTGTTAGCTTTTTGCATAGGTGTCTCTGCAATCCGAGATGAAACATAGCACGCAAAGCAACTCGAGATGCATAAAAGTCTATCAATCAATCAATTGTTAGAGTCTAGGTGTCATGTCTACGGGTGGAACTAACAACAGCCCTTCGTACGAGTTCTATCCAGTCTCTAACGTCGACGTCATATTCTATATGTGGTTCGTCCTTACATACGAGAGCAACGATTTATCTACATATGTACATACATAGACGTAGGTGGTCTCCGCCTTAGCCGCAAAAACCATTGCATATCAATAGCGGCATCTTATTGCTATTAATATGGGATTGATTGGGGTTGCGTGTTTAAGCTTACCAAACTAAGCGTACAGTTTTATGCTGTAACTAACTAGTTATGTACATATCAACTAAGGGACCTCTCTTTTGCTATTTGGTTAGGTAGGTAGTTAGCTACCTAATTGATCGAGGCTGAGTGAAGAAAATTTTTTCTCTCTTATGCCTGAAACATGCCATCATACATACTTTCATGCCGCCTGAGGAAACAAGCGAGGCCGAATAGAAACACGCCCTTGAGTTGCCCGGCGCATGAGAGACAAAAGTTGCAAGACAGTCCAAGTTCTGCACACAGTCCTAGGTAGCGAGTCTTGTTGCTTTGTAGATTACCCGGTCTGGAACGTCTGTGGCATTTCCAATCTTTCGATATTCAGTCATTGTCCTACCGGAGAATGTCCCAACACATTATTCTTGCCTGATGTTACATAGTTCTCAGCCTGCTTGCGAGAGATTTGAAACGGGTTAACTAGGCTTTAGGAAAAAGGAACACTGCAGTAACATAACAGAGCATCACAAAGTAGAAACCGGGTACCGTCCGTTGAGAGCCGTGCTGCCCGTTCCTTTGCCGTTAGGCGTTTTACGAGACATGGGAGTGGAAGCATAAAAAAAAAATAAATAGATAATAAATAAAAAGCCTCTGTTCAAGTTCCTGCTCGTGCACCTATCATATCTTCGTCTCGGCTGAACTTTCATAATACATATGTAAAGAGAAAAAAAAAAAACCCCCCAATATGTAAAACCAGGTTTATGATGTTTTAACGCATAAGGCTGTGTCTAAAATTACACATTTTATGTAATTAAGTAGCATGAGGCCCGGTACGGAGCTACACGGCTCCGGGGAACCCCTTGCATAATAATATCCCTGAGCTGACTTTTCTCGTCGTCGAAAGCACACCTAACTTTGATAGGACTCCGAGTAGCCTATTAAGAGGCTGTAAGCTACCAAGCAGCAGCTTTGGGTACCTAACCTGTGGGCTGTAGCATGGTAGTGTAGTAGGTGATACTGTATATACCTACCTATGTACGCGCAGGATGGTTTCGCTAAACAACCTACTTGAATCTTGGTTGGCTCGTAGAGATACCCCTTGCTCTAGAATCATAGCAGGATTAAGTTGACGCCAACCGGCAGATGTTCATTGGATCGATTGTCCGTCCGGCGTCTCGCGCGGGAAAACGGGTTTCGTTGATGCAACTGGAAATCGTGTACCTAATTGGCCTCAATGCTGAGCCACTAACATCCATCAAAGGAGGCTCTAAATATTCCTTCCATTAATGACCTGACCGTGCTGTGCGTGTCTCGCTGGTGCAGAGGTTTCAGTCGAGACTAGGTATGTATCTATCTGTAGATAGTGACATTAACATAGAAGTTCGTATTCAACCTACCTAAAACAACTTCACTTAGAATATATTCGAATCGGTCGTTGCGGTGAGTTCATACCGTGACGATTCCAGCCTGAGACCCCAACGTAGAGTTCGGATTCTTTCCGTGCCTAGTACAACAGTCAAGCCTGTCGTGTATATGCTCGCTCCTTGTGTAGATTATTGATACGCATGCCTAGGTACCTAAGGTAAGTACATATCTATCTAAACTCTGTAGCGAGATTTAAATGCAGACGAGTCCGCTTTCGGCCTCTCTCCATGGTGGAAGCCCATAGAGTAAAGTACTGGATGGCCTCATTCTCAGCAGATGCTCGCTTGTGGCTGAAAGGGGCTTTTCTAATAATCCCTACCAAACCATCGCGCCATTTTTCTCTGGGCAATGCTCCCTCCAAGAAACCAAGAAAACCGCCAGAGTCTAGGTCTAATATATAGGTAGGTAGTACCTAGGCAGCCAAAATCATATGCCATGTACATGCGCTAAGATTTCTCGGCCGGTGCGCGATACGAACACACCCTAGGAGTTGACGTCGCCGTGGGGCTTCGGGCCACCTGGCGATCATGTCGTGTCCTAAGGGGCTCATCCCTGATTAAGAGAAGCTACCTATGCACATATTAGGATCAAGTCGGTACTTTGGTATTATGTGAATTTTCTACGTACCTACATAGTAAATCAAGAGTCATGAGCTTATTTTTTTCCTACTTGTCATTTTTCCTCGCCAATTCGCCGTCGCTGGGTTAGAATAATAGTTTCATGCATTTCGCTACCCCGTCATTAGGGGATTGAAATACTAGTCTTGGCGATCAAGGTGTTGCGCCTCTAGCACGATAAGCCAGACGATCATGTCCGAGCATATCTGGGGAAAATGGTGAAATTTAACGGCCGTCTGGCGAATTCTAAGGAGACCCCACCAATTAAATGATTTTTTGCGACATCTTGCACCTAATTTAAGAAGTAAGGTTAAAAAATATGGCACGAGACAGAAAGTAATCGACTAACCTACATAGTATACCCGTAATTACTCGCCAATTTTGGACCAGCTTGCCTCATCGTGAAGTTTGGTCAACTGCGTATTTCAAAATTTTAGGACAGATTCAAGTGGACAGATTCAAGTCACTAGTTAAATGAACATAGAAGATGATATTTAAACGTATATTTTGAGGGGCTTGAACTGGTTTTTTCGATTCTTTTATGAACGAATCTCCTGCGGTCGTGCGTAATAAATGCAGTGCCAGCTAGGAGAGGCAAGCATAGGCTAATCCTAGTTGCCTAAAAACGAGTATCAAGTTCCATCAATCCACGTTGAACATGGATGAGCCTGTGCTTTGGGATATATACCCATCACGGCCACTTTGCCTTATTCTAACGCCCTCGTCGCGAGTCCGACGACTTCCAAAAACATGTCTGAGTCAGTGTAGTCTAACCGGCTGCTGCTAATTCCTGTGCCAGAATCCCCGTTCCCGGCATCCGTGTGCCATGCAAATAGAAAAACAAGTGATATCTCAATATTGTATCGTAGTACAACAATGTCCGTCCCTATACCGGTAGCCCCTAATCGTACGCCTGTGGCTCGAAGGAAGTCGAAGACAGAATCCCGAAATGACCCAAACTTTTTTTATGATGCTGTGCTCCGAAAGATGCTCTTGTACAACAAAGTAACAAATGAGATAGACGTAGCATGACCAATCATGCCTACCCGTTCTGTTCAAAAGATAAAAGCAAAAAAGGAAAATGAAGAAAAGAAGGAGTCGTGTGGTAGCTACGTAGAGCCGGTAGTAATAACATGCTTATTGGGTATAACAAGTGGAGTGTTGGATGAATGTTTATCGAGAGTAGGAAATATCGTCTGTTCGTCAAGCCTACATTTAGTAGGACCGTCGTCGTTGTTGTTGGAGGCGAGCGTGCTCGAACGAACTGGCATAGTCCCTCAATTGCTTCTTAGCCTTATCTGACAATTGCGTGCCTTCGGTTCCTGATGAAGTACTGCGGAGTGAACATAGGCTGCTGTGGGAGCTCGATGGGGTGAGGGCTCGCGTTGAGGACGAAGATGAATCTGAGCGTTGGCTTAAGTACGATTGCGGTAGAGGTGTCGAGCCGTAGGGCTGGGCATTGCTGAAGTCGTAGGCAGGAGGCAAGAAGAACTTAGATTGAGGCCTCGGGGCCGCCCAGTTATAAGAAGACGGGCTGAGTCCTGGAGTACTCGCTGGTGTGCTTGCTGTAGAGGACGTCTTCTCAAAGTCAGAAAGCCTGCATGACTCAGAGCAGTAGGTAGCGCCGTCAGTCTGCCTGTCACAGGCAAGGCAGAACATAGGCTCCCAAGACAGATCGGAAGACATGGTGTATGGTATGGTTCGGTTGGAGTGGATTTGAGTGTTTGGTCGAGGCCAACTTGTTTGACAGGTAGAATAGTATTGTGTAGTATTTACAAACTATCACGCATGCCCAAAGTCGAAAAAAAAAAAAAAAGTCGAAGCGAATCCTTAGCAGAAGCAAATCGGAGCTGTCTGGCGTATGTTCAAGACGAGACGATGAGACCGGGAGGCCTTGGTAGTTTATACTCTTTTACAAGTTGGTCCAAGATTATATCATGTTCTGGTCCGGTGTTGCAATATAGCACGCAATAGCGGAGTAGCGAAGGTTGAGAATGGGTTGTTGTCGAAGTTAAACAGTAGCTAGTAGGAGGCTCGTTGGGAACAAGTTGGAGGAGACGATGTTCATTTGTATGAATCCAGCTTACACAGACAGGACGTGGGTACTTAGGTACAAATGACTACTTGGTTGGGATGGGTGCATCGAGAGGTCAGTCACATCAGCAAGCGTTTGGATCAGCAAAGACAGCAGCGGCCCACAGAGAGACAAGGGCAATTAGTCGGTGGGGCCATTTACAACTCTTGCGCTACAGTACAAGAAGGTAGGTAGGGGAAGGTCGAAAGGTCCAGCAGGCTGCTCTCATCCTTGCAGTAACTTTGCATATGGGCTAGACCGTGTTAGAGCTAGCGCCAAAACTGCTGCCGATCATCACCGGAGAGCCTAGTCGCAGGTACGGAGGTACAGTGCAGGGGCCTCTCCTGACGGCTTGGAAGAAATAAAAATTCTGCTGCTTGCAAGGTGTGTAAGGAAAATTAGAAGGGGCGAGAGTTGGAATGGTGAGAGGGGGGGTAGGGGGGAGGGGCGTGTGATCATGACATCTCCATTTTACTTTATACAACACCCCCCTTGTTCTTGTTCAAGAGACCCCTCCTTTTATTGTTCGCTGCACTCTCTTTTTCCTTAACCCTGATGGCTGCTTATTTGATGAACTGGTGTTAGGTAGTTTATGCCAAATTATGGATGAATAGTGGAATAGTGGAATACCTACATACATTGAATATGAACATTTTCATTGAAGTCTCTCATTGCTGCTCCACCAGAGCAACTTTAGTTACTTTTCGCAATGAATTCTCTAAATTGCGACTATTCTAGGAAGTGAATGATGTCTCTACGCGCGATGCCACCTACGTACTCTCCTATTTTCTCCGGTATGATTTACAGTAGTATGCGACATACGAGACCACCAACTCTCATCCTCATTCGATCATTTGTCCCTCCTCGGCTTAATAAGAATGTTTACTGTAGTCAAATTATGCACGAACTTGGGTAGTCTTATATTGTTCGGTGTATTGATTGGTTAACAATTGCTTCATCGCCCGTAGTTTTGGTATCTTACGGGCTATCACTGCCTTTTTTCTACCACTTGCATAACAACCTCGCCTTTTGCGAATTATATAGTAAAACACTAGGTTAGGTGGTATATCCAATATCTAGATACGTAGGTAGGTAGCAACAAGATACCATCGAGGCTAAAAGACGTAGTGAGACGAATATGAAGATGGAGTGGAACCCGTGGGGGTAGTTGGCAAGTTTTCTCTTTATGCCTTCAACCACGGTTGCCACATCGCGAAGTGCAAAGTACAAAATCGTCAATTAATTAGCTCCTACGTAATATCCAGCCGAAATTTCCCAATCGCGAGAACCCGGATTCCGGTTGGGCGACCTAGGCAGACAAGTTCGCGTAGATAAGCTGCCAAGTTGGCCACCTGGAGAAGGAAGAAGACAAGGCAAGGCATACGTAAGGTATGTAGGTCTTTACAATGTGTATATGCGAGTATGCGAGTATGGTTGCACGATGACTATCATTTCATCAGGCCTACGCGTTGCGCATGATTGAATTGGACGAAAGGGTACCTCTAAAAAGGGATCTAAGAAGAAGGGAATTGGAGGAAGGGGAAAAGCGGGATTGCGTTGAGTTGCGAGTAAATGTGCAAGGCGACGGTGTTGCAATTGAAGTACAGACCAGATAAAGAAACCGAAGTTGAAGAAAGCGCCCTTTCCTATTCAATCCGTGTTTTGCGGGGAAACAGCCAACCCTTCGCACGATAATCAACCCATAATGATATCTACAGTCGCACAAGGTACTTTGTAGTTGGTAGTTGCTTGTAACCTATGTACATGTAGATAGTTGCGCAAGAAAACGCAAGATAAAAACAAAGCCACACTAAAAACACCGACCACCGACTACCGACCACCGACCACCGACCAGTGACTAGTGACCACACAGAAAATACATAACCTTGCCTACATCAACTATACTGCGTAGCACCATATTATATTATACTACATGTGCTACATATACTACATAACCTGTATAGAGAGATGGGATGGTAGTGGCAGCATACAACCGAACCAGAAACCACCTGAGCTTGCCCACACTGCGCTGTTGATGCAGGTCTTGCATATGCTCTGCGGACGACGCTCTTCGTCTGGTTGATATTATTGGTTGGTGTATACTATCAGAGAGGATGGCAATTTATGAAAACCGTCCAAGGTGGCATCGAAATTACCACCTTTCTCACCATATCCCAATCATGTCTACCTTCTCCCCATGACGCTTTTTTATTCCATTCAGGTTTCTTCGCCTGTACGGCTACCCCCCTTCTTCCATATCAATTCCTGCCGGTGCCGTGGTTGTTCGTGGGAAATGCCGCTCGCGAATGATACCAGGACATATCAAAGAAAATTCAACAGGGTCCTCGCTTGTGTCGGCATTGTAGCTACGCTCACTGTTCAGCGTGAGTCTTCTAAGTCTATTCTCGTCCCAAGAGAGAGGGTAGCCTCGACAATGGGTTTGTCTATAATGAGGAAACATATTCTTCTTAAAGCTCTTCGAGATCTGACATCATAGTACTTATTCCAAAACTAGACTGCTACCGCGACATTAGTCGTACTAAGTGGGAAAATCCCAGGATAAGGTCATTTTATTTCATGGGTATTTCTAACCACGTCCACTACACTACGGCCGGTACCTTACATCGGTCGACTAATCTACCAGTCATTTCCCGACCCTTCCGATGGATCACGGGGAAGGACTGGAATGGGGGGACCCCTTCGTTATCATCATCATCACGGGTTACCTGAAAGAGACATTGATACTCTATTAACTTGGCCTACCTGCCAGTGATCCAATTAGGATGGCAGCTGACATCTCCATGCTCTACATCATAGTAGTATACTGGTCGCTTGGGATGCATGATGTTCATGCCGTCAGCTCTCCGTAGCATTTCCCCTTGCCCTCGGGGTCCAGTATACAAAGAACACCAGCACCCATATACTTACGAAGGCTCCGGCGCTACGGTAGATCTACAAGTAGCAGCGTAGCCTCTGGGGAAGATTCAGGACTGAAGATAGCTATTGGGCGCGGAGAAAAAGAAGAGGCCGTTAACTAACAAACCTCACACGCACCAGCTCCTTAGAGGTTGGAGTTGGAGCTTTTGCAAAGAGAGAAAAAAAATCTGTTACGCAGATCAAAACTCCAGCTCGTCGTGGCTATATTCTCTCTAGCAATCCAAGGCCAAGCGGTCCCATTGAGGATAGACAGGCAGCACCGCAGTGGTCTAGGATGGTCGATTTACGCCTAGCTGGTGAAGGCTCATCTTGTGTGGCAGCCAATGACGGGACGCTAGGCCGAATGGGATTTGACCTGCATCGAAAGGCGGGGGAATCTCCTGCAGGTTCTTGCAGCAACTTGAGCAAATTGGTCCAAATGTTCCCAGTCGACAGCCACTATTCGTCGTTGACTGTCGACCTAGGAGCTGCAGAGTGCGAGGGGCGAGCCACACTCTTTCTCGTCGTCTCTGGATCGCCACCTGATAGCATGTACTAACCTTGTCGTGCTCCAACGCGACTTGCCTTCATGGAGACATACATACCTACCTAGGTATTCCTGTACGCCCAGCAAAGGGTTATCGACAGCCGAATCTAAAGGCACTATCGTCTTTGAACGACCCTGGATCTGCAGAGGTATGCTACAAGGCACACGATTTCCACGCAACCGACAAATCTCAACCCTTTTCAGAAATCGCGGCGATTTTTGGTAAATGGTGCTAGCCAGGCGATTTCTACGAATATACGTGTCTAGTAACAAAAAGAAGCCTATTAGACGTCTAGATGCGTTGATATCACTTATACTAGCACGTTGATCTTGACGATCTCGAAAGCGTCAGAATCAAGTCCCACAACGAGGCTATCGCTGGCTTGTCGTCTTTAAAATGTAGAAACATGCTGCTCGGGTTGGATATTTACAAGTATAAAAGTATATCTGCATTGGAGAGCATGTCTATCGCGTGCCTATCGCATGTCGTAATCACGATGTAATTGATTGTACCTAGTCGAAATGCATTTTGCTGCGCAGCAGGCGCTCGCGCGAATGGTACTCAATACTGGAGGCCTGGAAGGCTTAGACGACGTCTCTAGGTACCATTATATGCGCAAACATACCTAACATAGCAACGTATATTGTTACCCCGGGTGTAGTTATACAGCTGCGTATTACCTGAATTGGAATATAACCCCCTCGTCTCATGAGCTCTTGATGTCTTTGTGCTCTCGCCCTGGCCCTGCTAGTCCCACGGGATAATTCGACTTTGAAAACTATGATGGGGGTCCGCGTGGGATGTCTGTGTCTTGCCTTGATATGTTTATCTCTTCCATATGAATACATAGGCATGCGAGCATGTGGAATATCTGAAACTATTAAAAGATGGGTGGGTACGTAGAAGATAGGATAGATGGAGACATAGAGACATATGTATGTACATGCTGCGTAAAGTGTGAGTGGGACGTTCGCCCGCGATTCGGTCACATTAGTCTATCCACCCAGATCTGGTTTATCTCGGTAGGCATCGTACACTTGAATCGTTCTATCAAGAAGACCATTGTCTAGTCTATTCTATTTAGGTCTATTCTATTTAGGTACGCTAAGCCCGAGCTCTTGATGTTGTTTGATTCTTAGCGTCTTGCT